AGTGACAAAAACAATTAATTGAGGATTGAACGGAAACCGATTGAGTGCAAACGTTTACGAAAAATGCAAATTACGTTCGAAATAATTTTATGTGTTTTATTGAAAAGTTTAGTACTGACAAAGGCAACGTCGAAGGATTATACCCCTTCAAACAGCCTTCAGAAAGAAAGTGTTTCCATTTGTCCGAATTTAAATTTCACGCAGGTAAGAGATATTTTTTGCTTGATTAAGAAACAATTGAATGTTATTGTGGTAAATGTTTAATTTACATCACACACCTCGAAAAATTTTTATTTATAAATAAATATTATTTCTAAACATAACAATTTTTAAAATTAATGAAGTTTTCTGTCTACTATCTGCTACATTAATATATATAATGGCACTTCAACAGATTTTTATGTTATTTTTCTTTAATTTTTAAAATTTCTTTATTTTTTTAAATATTTATAATAATATTTGTTGATATAGTAAGCCTTAAAATTAATGTAGATTTTATTTTATAAAATTAATTTAGAAAGTTAACATCATTTCTTTGTGTTAAGAATAATTATATAACGGCATAGAGCTACTAAATATTGAAATAGAAAATCTGTATAATAAACAAATCATTCATTCACAAAGCATTCTTCAAATTGTATTTATTAACGTTAATATTTCGATCGACAATACATTCAATACAATTGGTAGAATTTTTATTAATTTTCTTTGTACATATATCCATTTATATGCAATTATATGCACATATTCTTATCAAGGCATTGTCGGTTTATATTATCGGTTTATATTTATTATTTCCTGAATGTGTATGTTAAAAATATGACGACAATCAAGAAAAAACTTGACAAGGTTATAAATAAAAGAATTTATATAATTCTATAACTAATACTTAATAACTGTAAAGAAACAATATTTTTAACCTTTTTATTCTTGAAGTACAAACATTAATAAAACTTTAGTAATATCAGAAAAGGATTCCGCATCAGTCTTGTGGAAATTGGCTCTAGAATTTTGATAAAATTTTGGGAAAAGGTACAGTTCAACATTCTGATCAAAAGTGACACAACAGCGAATAGACGATAAAGAATACTGTTATAAAAGAGAATATCATGAATTATGTTTTAGGATATTATTGAGTAGTGTTTATGCGAGTACTCAATAATACAAATATGAATCTAAGGTAACATTTCCTCCACTTGGGCCTTGTCTGTCGATTGGACTTTGCGAACATTAAGCGAGATTAGGCCCAACCGTACATTCGATATAATGACCTCTGATTTCGAAAGCGAAACGATATCCCAGAGAAGATGTGACATGAACGGATGTCGGATTGCAATATGGACAAGGCCCAATCGACAGACAAGGCCCAAGTGGAGGAAATGTCACCTTAAATATTCGTATTATTGAGCTCTCGCATAAACACTACTCAGCAATATCCTAAAACATAATTCATGATATTCTCAAGTAACAGTCTTCTTTATCGTCTATCCGCTGTGTCACATTAGGGGCCTTTCAGGGCTAAAATATCATTTCGAATCGAGTTCCCATGAGAACATTTGATCAGAATGTTAAACTATTTTTTCACAAAATTTTATCAAATTCCGTCGAGAGCCAATTTCCATAAGATTAGTGTGACATCCTTTTTGAAAAGAAATATGAGTTACGGTAAAATTCAGAAGAGTTAACTAACCTATCATGAAAGAATCAAATTGTTAGACAAAATTGTTTTAATAATTGCAAAGAGTTACACTTTCGCTTGTACTACTTGCTAAAAGTTGTTATAAATTCTCATTGATTCTCGTTAACCTATTGATTGATTTTATTTTTGACATGAGTTATGTTTGATATATAAGATGTCTTCAAAAAAATAAATAAAAAATAGATTTTACGATATGAATAAAACTACATCACATTCAATTTATATCATTTAGGAATGATATATATATATATATATATATATATATATATATATCATTCCTAAATGATATAAATTGAATGTGATGTAGTTTTATTCATATCGTAAAATCTATTTTTTATTTATTTATATATATATATATATATATATATATATATATATATATATCAAATCGGTATTATTAAGCAAACAAAGAACGAATGGAAATATTTCGTTTAATTTTATAATTTATTATTAAAAGAAACAACCGTTTCAACGATATCTACTTAATTCTTTTTGTATGTTATACTTTATGAAGGATATTTCATTGTCCAAGAAAAGTGATCATCATATACTAAATTTCAAATCTGACCGGAGTCATTCTGATAATATTGTGAGAAATGAGCGAGAAGTCGATGAAGTTACACTTGCAAATAGTTCTATTATTCCAAAATCTATCGGTAAGTTTAAAAAAAATGCATAAAACATTAATAACAAAATCTATGACGAAAAAGTGTAAATATAACTTAAAAAATTAAAAAGAAAATGGCATAAGAGCCAACGCGCGGTACTGTGAGCACAGAGAAGCAACAATACAACACTTCTTTCTCTTTTCAATATTAGTTTATTAAGAAAACACATTATAATAACAAAAAGAGAACATTTTAGATCATCTTTTGATCCTTCTTCTGCACGATGTTAATAATATATATTACAGATAGTGACGCGTTATATTAAACGAATTTATTCTCGACGCGTAGGAGACGCTAAATTGCATTTCAAGGTTTAGTATGCGTTCTGCTTCCAACAGTCAATTAAATATATTACAGTTATGCTATGCGGCGTTCACAGCAGATCATTGACTGTTGGAAGCAGAGCGCTTACTAGATCTCCGCGGGATGTAATTTAGCGTCACCTACGTGTCGAGAATAAATTCGTTTAATGTAACGCATCACTATCTGTATCATATATTGTTAATATCGCGCTGAAGAAAGATCAAAAAATAATCCGAAATGTTCGCTTTTTGTTATTATAATGTGTTTTTCATAAACTTATATTGAAAAAAGAAAGAAGTATTATTGCTTCTCTGCGCTCCAACTACCGTGCGTTCGCTCTTGTGCTATTTTCTTTCAAATTTTTTGATTGCTTGAGCAAAATCTCTAATTATTAAATATAATTTAAATTGAAGAGATAGTGGAAATCAAATCTAAAAATATCTTCCAGTAGTGAAAAGAATATAAATTCTAGTTCCGTCTAAAAGAGACATAGAAAAGCATAATATAAACATAACATTGTACATAAAAATTGTCATAATTTAAGGTAAAGTCAATTTTATTAATTTGCCCCTCTGTTTTAAAACAGTCGCAAATATTGTACTTTTAATTTCTTAAGCTATAAGAATTTTTCGAAAAGTACTTGTCACTTTATTAAAAGTTGTTTATTCGTTCTTGCCATGAATTAACGATTATTTTTCTAAATCTTAAATGACGTAATTCTTATATTATCTTTTTAAAGGTCAATATTGTACTAATTTCCATATTTGGTAATTTATATTGTGCTAATTTCCATATTTGGTAATTTATATTGTGCTAATTTCCATATTTGGTAATTTATATTTATTTTTTCTCTTTCCTTTATTTTTACATTAAATTATTTTTTCTAATTTACTGAAATAATCCACTTAATCTTATATATAATTATGTTAATATGTACGATCTTAAAATCTCTAGAAAGCAGTTTGAGCAAGCCAACATCTCTCAGAGCATTTGTACAATTTGACAGTCAATTTACACAAAAAGTAAATGACATTTTTGTGACATTGAGGTAAAATTCTTAGTTTGTATTCTTTCATTTTTTTCTCTTTTTCTTAAATTCAACGACATAAATATATCAAAATGTTAATTCTGTTATAACTTTGTTAAATATAAAATGGTTAAAATTTTATTATTTTACAGATGGAACCAACCTGAATTTACAGATAAAATAATACAAGAGTACCAAGTACAGTGTTCTTTCTTCGACGACTTTAAAGACATTCAAATCTGCGATGATAAAAATATCACAACTACAAAATTGGAGCACACGGTGCACAATCTAACATCTAACACGACATATTATTTTCGAGTACGTGCGCATACTAAAATTGTTACTGGTCCTTACACGAATTTAATCAAAGTGTCGACTACACATGAAAATCCAATACCTAAATTATTACTCATAACGGAAATAGGTTTGCAAATATTGGACGTGGATTTAAACATTACTGATTGGTTATTGCCAGAGTACGTATACTAATAAAAAAATAGTTATAATTATCATAAATTATTTTTAACACACTATCTATAAAGTTAAAGTTATTATTATTATGCACAGATTTATTATTATCAATATCAGTAGTAATAACTATAAAATTAGAAATCTCAACTATAATTTTTTACTACACAATTATAGTTCCTTTTTTTCAGATCAGTAATAAAATATAACTCCTTTTTTCAAATCAGTAATAGAATATAACTTTTTTTTTCAGATTTTTCATTTCCTTAATAGAAGCCGCTTATTCGATACAAGAACATAGAATTTATTGGACAATAGGAACAAACCTAATGACAGTGAAGATTAATGAAAATAATGTCACAAAAATAGCTACCTTTGATCATTTTCTACATAATCTTTGCATTGACTGGGTAGCAAGAAATCTATATTTTAAATATGAAGACTTAGACAGATATTATCATATTGTAAAGTTTGACTTAACAATGTGGGAAAATGGCATAATTAAATTTGATGAGATTTTCGAATCAAAAGCTTATATTGACCATTTAAATGTATCACCGCCTATGGGGTACGTTTACTACCGTTCACTTGAAAAAATAATTTTCCATTAAAGATTTATGCAAATTTGTAATTTTTTTATAATTTTACGTTTTATAATTAAGATCATAAGTAAAAAATAATAATAAGTTATTATTTAATTATAAGAATTTCGAATTTTCACTACATACAAGTTTTTGTTTTCATTAAAATAATGTTTTAATGGGTGAAATAATTACATATTTTCTAGAATTTTATATTACGCATCATACAATAGGAATATGCATTCAGAATATGAAATAATGAAATATCATTTTGATGGAAAAATCAAGCAAATTGTTCGAATAAATGAATCCTTTTGCCATGATTACGAACTTTCTTCACTTAGTATGATAATTGATGATATGAATAGTCAGGAGCCATTAATTTACTTGTTAAGTAGTGAACACATATTTGTGACAGACATTAACGTTTCTATGTGCAATGCGATTTTAGACAAGAAAAACATAAGTGATTACTACTTCCAATCTATGACTATTGACAAAACAAACATTTACATTTTAGCAAGTATATACGAATATTCGTCTGAATTTACTCTTTACGTTTTGGAAAAGAAATATGCAAGTCTCAAAAGCGTAAATGCAGCTGAACATATTGAAAAGATAATAATAAGCTCAGATAAGAAAAATGATATTTATAGAATTTACGCTTTTGATAAATCTTTACAACCATATCCTCCAATGAGATGTCTGACACCTGACGAAAAAGTTTATAATTTTGAGAATGTGAATGCAATGGCAAACAGCATCATTGTGAATCTTCCGGAGCCGGTTGTAAAGAATGGATGCAAAAAATATAATTTACCAACTACTATATATACTATCTCTATAAGCTGTTTAGACAACAATCTCAACAAGTCTGAGAAATTCAATGTGCAGACGGTCGAACGATATTACGTGATTCAGAACTTGGCACCATTTACAGAGTACAAGTTGAAGTATACTTTAAGCAATTTTTACTTTGATCAATTATCAATAAATCCATTTGATTCGAATGTGATATCAATAAAAACTAATTCAGGCAAGCTTAGTGCACCAGAAAACATAAGTGTTCTAGCTTTGAAGCCTACTATAGCAGTAGTTCATTGGATGCCATCCAAAAAAGTGAACTGCGTGGCCGTGGCCTACGAAGTGCATTGGAAGTCAGTTACATTAGTGAACGGCACGCAACAAAAGGGTAAACAATTTATCAATATGCCGAAACGTACGGCAGACGGCAGATTTTTCACAAAGATTAACTTGTCGCTACCGGTACAAGATTACTTGATATACGTGCGTGTGTATCCAAATAATTTCAGTGCTTTGTACAACGAGAGTTTAAGCAAGATCGTTCACATATACTCAGAACCAAGCAATATTACTTTGAGCGGGGTCGACATAAATAGCATGGACATTTCATGGATCCCAAACATCAATCTGACGGTTCTTCTTACACTAGAGTACAAAGAGATTGCAACAGGAAAGTGGCAAAAAACGAATAATATTAAAATAAATTATAACAAAGAAATGATATACCATATCGAAAATTTACAATCGGGAACTTTATACAAGTTTCGTTTGATATTAAGATATCCCGAATATGAGGAAAATTTTACATGGCCGGCTGATGAAAGATTTATTTTTTCAACACTTGGTAAGCAAACGAAGATACCTATACAGTATAATAAGATTGCGGATATATTGAAGAACAATTTCATTGAAACATTGCAATATTGCAAATCGATTGTGAAACAATAACTTTACTGAGTTATTGTTATAAGATTGTGATGAAGTTAAGATGTCTGTTTCTTGCAATGAAATATTGTAGCAATATTACAGTGGAAAAAAAGCAATGTTATTGCAACCATATTTTCGTTTTCGATGGATGAATATCTTGGACACATTTAATTAAATTAAAAAACTTGATATATATAGAAGTTTGCAATATCTAAGATAATCATATCTAAAAAAATATATTGCAAATTATATTTAAACTATATTTATATTTATAAATTATTTTTATATTTGTAAATTATATTTAATAATCATATAACATAAAATGTTATATTTTTATACGAAATTACTTTAAACTCTTACTTACGAATCATTTTTTTTATTTTAAATGTTCTATATACTCTTATAATGGGTATTTTATACACATATACATATATTAATTAGAATTAATTATACGTTACTAATTATATTTTTATTTAAAAATTTAAAAAATTCGTTATAATTATATTTATTTACATGTAAAAAATACATAAAAATGCATAGAAAAATATAATAATAGATATAATAATATCTATTTTTAATATACTAACAAGATATATTATTTTTGAATATTAACATCGTATTCATAAATGAAGTGATAATATATTTGTAATATTGCAATATTGTTGCAAAGTAGTTGTAACATTCTGTGCTGCATAGATATTAAGTTCTGATATTTTGGATATGAATAGACCTAAAATTTAAAAAATTATATTTTGTATTAAAGTTATAAGTAAATATTTGTAAAAACATACACAGACAAAGATATTAAAATTATATTTTTGCTTAATATAAGTATTTCGAGCACTCCTGAAATAATAGCGAAAAAATATTACTTCTTATTCATGTTAAGTTTTATCGTTATAGTTATTATAATCTGCGTCTATTACTTTTATCGTTGTAAGTATATTTGATGTAGGTATCGACTTGAATTATAGATTACACACATATATATCTGATATAATATTTAAAAATTTACTGAAAATAGTAATTTATTTATATAAAACTAAACGAATTAATTTAATTAAAAACAGTATATTTTATAATTCATATTATTACATAATATTATTACATATTATTACTTAAGTCGAAATTTTATAATAGTGTATCGTCAACGCAGAGATAATAATGAACGACTTTTATCTTCAACAATGACCGATATAGAAATGGAGATTCAACATGAAGTGCCTTGCCAATATACTGAATTCAATACGAATTACAGTCCTGTGTTACATAGTAACCCAGATGAATGTGCGATAACTAAAATCGCACGAAATCAAATTACACTTACAAAACATCTTTGTAGCGGCGCATTCGGAACGGTAAAAATTAATTTTTTCAAGCAATGTTTCAAATTAATTTCTGGATGAACAAAACAAATTTGTATTTTTTAATAAAGATATAAATTACATGAATTTTTATAATAGATTATAAGTAATATAAAATTTAGATGAGACAACAAACATGCACTTTATTATACATTTTTCGTAGAATTATTTAATATAAAGTAAAATATAATATTACTTGACATTAAACTATACATTTTCTAATGACGGACGCATAAAAATTTGTGTGAAATATTTCGTAGGTGTTTCAAGGAAAGGTGAAGAACTTAGAAGGATCGAGCACGGAGATATCCGTTGCAATAAAAACGCTTCGAAAAGATGTCTCTTCCCATGAGAAAAAGAATTTGTTAAAGGAAGCCGAACTTATGAATCATTTTAGACATAAACATATATTAAGATTGTTGGCCGTTTGCTTAGATGGAGATTCTCCTTTACTAGTGTTGGAATTGATGGAAACTGATGATCTGTTAAAATATTTGAGAGATTGTCGAAATTTGGAAGCGTCAGATTCGTCTGCTTTGCATTTGCAGGATTTGCTCGCCATGTGCGAAGATGTTTCGCGAGGTTGTTGCTACTTGGAAGAATTGCGTTTCGTACATAGAGACCTAGCATGTCGTAATTGTTTAATATCTTCGAGGAATCGAGAGAATCGTGTCGTCAAAATTGGGAACTTTGGACTAGCTAGAGATATCTACAAGGATGATTATTATCGCGTGGTAAATACAATTATGAAAAAAATTAAAAAATGAATTTTTAAAAAAATACTTTCCATTTTTTTATCATAATGGTATCGTGCATTGTTTCTTCAAATAATATAGAATATATATGATTTTTATTTATATATATTAAGAGATAAATTAACGTTTTTTATTTTGCACATATTCTAAAAATGAACAACTTGAACCAGAATATTAAATTTTTGTTAAAATCATGTTTTAGAAAGGAGAAGATTTGCTCCCTGTTCGCTGGATGGCACCCAAATCTTTGATGTTCAGAACATTTACTTCTCGAAGTGATGTTTGGTCATTTGGGGTATTAATGTGGGAAATTACATCGTTGGGTGAGAAACCTTATGTTACCAAAACTCATGAAGAAGTGATAAATTATGTACGTGCTGGAGGCAAGTTGCCGATGACTCTTAATTGTCCGTCACCATTGTACCAGTTGATGCAACATTGCTGGAGTGCAGCGGATGCTAGACCAAATTTCAAATTTTGTCTGGAAAATATTATAACATTAAGAAAGAACATTGAAGATGCCTTACTGAGTCCAGTTGATAATATTTAGCCGATATAATTAAGTTAATATTTATGTTATTTTCCAAACGATTTGATAAATCTTAATGTAAAAAAATCATTTCTAGAATACTTCTAAATTGATTCTGTTATTTTTAGGTTTAATTTTAATATTATATTTATCAATAAAGATAAAAGAAATTTTGTAATCTTATCTTCCATAAAATTTGGATTATTAAAAAATATTACATCCGTTTTCATAATTGTAAATAACGTAATATAATAATATATCTAATTTGTGTTTTTGAATAATGGAAGCGAAACCTAATAATTTCAATTATATATATAAGTATAAACAATATTTTTTTCAAGATAGAAATATAATTAATTTTCGACATTATATATAACCGATAATTACAAATTAATTGTAAAATTTATGAGTGAAAAAGGAAACGCAAGTAATATTTTCTATAATTAATTGTGAATATATAAATATAACAATATAATTATTTTTGAATTTATAACAGTTATCATGTATGAATTTTTATATCATTCGGAATAAGTATATACTTATATTTTATCTTTATATTTAATACTTAGATGATTTTTAAGTGATAAATAAAATCATGATAATGTCATAATGATGTTATTATGAGTTTCATGTTCTACCTGGGTATTTATCGATTCACGGAAACGCGGACAACGATAGACACATAAATAAGATTTCAATTATAGAAGAGAAAATAAAAAGAACTTTACTTATTGCTTATAAAATATTGATTCGTTGAATAACGTATTATTTACAAGAGTTGTAAGTGATTGTTATCTTCATCAATTATTTCTTATTAAAATTAATAAAAAAATTATATATAAAAAATTGCTTACCGATATATCATATAATGAATCCATTGACTGCATATTGCAACAACTCCCATTGAACATGTATAATCGTAGAATTAATCGTAATATAAGAGATTTTATATATTGTAGTAATTCATCAAGTTTGATTCATGAAGTTACAGGAATATATCAGATAATCTTTCTCTCTCCAAAAATTTTAATAAATTAATAATAAATTAATCTCTTTAATGAAACACATGCTATTTTAATAATTTTATTATACAAATACCACAAAAACAAAATATGACGAAAAAAATGCTCTCTCTCTTTCTCTTTCTCTTCTCAATAACTTTATTAAAATTTTCTAAATTATAAATTTCTATCTTCATCTTTTTACTTAGAGGATTTTTTTTAGTAGTACCTTTTTTAATTTGGAATATAATTTCCTGGACATGTTTAATTTGTTGTTAGTTCTCTTAAACACGTGCACAAAATTCTTAAAAATATTTTGATACTCTACTATTTCACGATTGTAGAATATTTATTATTTTCTCGCATAAGGGTTTAACTTGAAAATGTAACTTTTTATTACGATTAAATATTGTATACAAATTGTATAATTGTTATTAATAAATTATTGTAACCTTTTATTTAATATTTTTATTATATATTGTATAATTCTTCTTTATATTTAATATGGAATAAAATGTATAAACATGACTTTTCAAAAGTATTAATACTCTCGTTTATCTCAAATATTACGTCATTACAAAATTAAAATAATTTTGTAGCAATGAGGTTGAAACGCAATGATGTTGGTAAACGTGATATACGTTAATCTATTATTGTCGCGATGAAATTTGATTTTATATATATAATGTCTTTATCGAAAATATTTAATAAATCGACAACACTATAATAAATAAAAATACGCTATATAAATATTTTATTTCACACATAATGCACATAGTAATTGATATTTTCCAATTAAATAATGATAGCTTGAAAGTATATTTTTATACAAAAAATTTATTTTTCTCATCTATTTTAATAAATAAAAATTATGTCATTTATTTTATTGAATTGTTCTTAAAATTGTACGGAAATTTTTGAATTATTTTTAAAATTACTATATTTAGGATCAGGATATTACTTAGGATCAAAAGGATCGAAGGACTGGATGGTCCATTAACTAGATTGAATTATAGATCATCGAATAAATTTTATTGTACTAATGCATGACTTATCGCGATGATATATACATGTGATGTAAAGCGCGCGAGGTGATTTATTGACGGGATGAAAAAGAGTAATAGTACAGAGAAAAATATACATCTATTGCACAAATAAGGTGAGACTCTCACTTAATTACGATTACGAGTGTAAACTAATTACGTTCGTTGTGTATCGAATAAACTTTACGAATCGAAATACTTGCACATTTTATTGCAATCTTTATTCGACGAGTAGGATAAAATGATATATAGTGTTGCACATTAAAGAAAGAAAAGAGTAATTCAGATCTGGCTAGAAAAATAATAAATACAGCTGAGAGGGAGAAGCAAAATTCTCCATTTCTCATCAATTGCACGCTATTTATTTTATCAATATAGGATTCTTTATATAGAATAAGTTTGATGTAACAAAATATAAGTAAAAAGTATATATATATATATATATATATATATATATATATATATATATATTTATATATATATAGGGTGGCCTCGAACGTTCCAGCCAGACTTTGAGATCTTATAGGAATATTTAATTCTGAAGAAAAAATTTTCTATAAACATGGGTCGAAAAATGCTTCCTTAAGAAGTTATCACTCAAAAACCTCTGATGAAGGAAAAGCAAAAGGAAATAAGAAGAAAATGAAACTAAATAAATTTCTTGAAAAAAACGATAAAAATAAAAAATAAAAATCTTTTTCTTTTATGAAAATAAAATATATTTTTTATATATAATTAATATATGTAATTATATATTAATATATATAATTATATATAATTATATTATATATTAATATATATACAGGGTGAGGAAAAAGTATGGAAGCAAACAATTATTTCCGAAACTATTCATTTTTCGACAAAATGTCTTAGACATAATTTTTATGGTATGAAAAGATGTATTATGTGGCATAGACCTTGAAATGACCCTTACGAGCTGCATACAAATAACGTAAAAAATTTCAAATGGAACTCGTCAGTTTTTGTTACAGATTCTTGTAGCTGATGTCGAAATGTTTACAAAACACTGCATATGAGCCCCATTCCCTTAAAAACACTTCCAGTTACGAAACAATTGTGATACAAACAATTTGTATGCACATTGACATTGCTTACTGATTTCGTATCATGACGTTCAGTTGCGTCCACTAATAACAAATGTTATTTTCACGATGGCCCGATATGACAACAGGTACAATTACATGTGCGAAATCAGTAAGCAATGTCAATGTGCATACAAATTGTTTGTATCACAATTGTTTCGTAATTGGGAGTGTTTTTAAGGGAATGGGGCTCATATGCAATGTTTTGTAAACGTTTCGACATCAGCTACAAGAATCTGTAATAAAAACTGACGAGTTCCATTTGAAATTTTTTACGTTATTTGTATGCAGCTCGTAAGGGTCATTTCAAGGTCATGCCGTCTATGCCACATAATACATCTTTTCATACCATAAAAATTATGTCTAAGACATTTTGTCGAAAAATGAATAGTTTCGGAAATAATTGTTTGCTTCCATACTTTTTCCCCACCCTGTATATATATTAATATATAATATAATTATATATAATTATATATATTAATATATAATTACATATATTAATTATATATAAAAAATATATTTTATTTTCATAAAAGAAAAAGATTTTTATTTTTTATTTTTATCGTTTTTTTCATGAAATTTATTTAGTTTCATTTTCTTCTTATTTCCTTTTGCTTTTCCTTCATCAGAGGTTTTTGAGTGATAACTTCTTAAGGAAGCATTTTTCGACCCATGTTTACAGGAAATTTTTTCTTCAGAATTAAATTTCCTATAAGATCTCAAAGTCTGGCTGGAACGTTCGGGGCCAGCCTGTATATATGTATACGTACATGCCTAAGCCACAAAAGTTATTTGTATTTGTATTAAAGTATTATGCATATGTGCAATCCTCTAAGAAAGCGAATAAAATAATTTCGATATAAATTATTTCCTACACATATATATGTTTGCCTAATTTCAAATTTTTTTATATTAATATAATCTTAAAATATTATGCGAGATGTTGAGGAGTGAAAAAAATTTCAGATAAATTAATATAAATTAAGTGTTTAATCAAATAAATGGCAAGTAATTACACATGTGATAATGACTGCTTTGAAGAAATACACTTAAAGTCTATTCCTCAAATATAATTCATTAAATACAAAGCGTAGCAAGATGCGTAAAGACTAATCAAGACAAGAGGCTTGCAAGCTTTTTGTACAATTGATATATTAATCCATATTTCATTATCCTTTCCTTCAGTTTTTTTACATATATATATACTTTTGTGGCCGAGCATATAGAAAATCTCACAGGTATTTGTATCGAAGAATTATATTTTAGTCATCTTGAAGAAGACTGAGTGGATCCTCGACAATCTTCTCCGCCGTTTTCTTCAGATCCCTGGTGATCGATTTTTTCATGGTCGGTCTTGAATTCGGCGCGATTGTTGTCGCATTCGTCCTCGAGTCTATCGACACGGACGGTTGCTTGCCGAAGATACGATCGTCGTCGTCGTCGTTCTCGTCATCCGACGCAAACAGGGACTTGACTTTCTTGGGAACAACTTTCCTAGCGGCGAAAAGATCGATATCATTCTCATCATTGTCAATCTTCCCGCCAGTAGGAAAGCTGCTGCTCGCCACATCACCGAAGATATCCTTCAAGTTCGAGTTCTTGGCTTGAGAATCGCCGAGCTCGTGTTTGAACTCCGAAAACGACGTGCTATCTGATTTCTGCGACTGGCCGGACGATTCGACGAACAGACTGGAATCCTCGTCGTCGTCATCGTCGAAAATGTTGTTCCTCTTTCGTCCAGCCTGAACAGAATTCGACTTTTCCTGCTTCGTTTTGCTGAACGCGCTGCCGAAAAGATTGTCGTCCTTGTTCTGTACATCATCGTCGTCGCCGAAGAGAGCGATCTTTGTGTCCCGCAGCGGTTTCTTCACCGTTTTCTTCAGCGGTGCCGCGGAAAATAAATCACCGCCCGCGTCATCGTCCGCGAATAGATCCAAGACCTTCTTCCTCGGCTCGCTTAACTTGTTTGCCGCACTGGGAGAGAACAGACTATCATCCGATTCGGAAAACAGCAGTCCTCTGTTTTTCTCCGGCGATGGCGTCTTTGTGACGAATGCGAACAACTGACTAGGATCCTTGAGTGGATCGTGGCTATTGTCACGCAGAGGATCGCTCGGCTCTTCGCTAGACTTTCCAGTCATTTTTCTCTCCTCGTTGACCGAACGCTTATCGTCCTTCTTCTCGACATCCTTTAAGATATCCGAAGTATCCTGAGCATCGACATCTGATCGCATTAATTCGGAAGAATCTTGTTTAGGACTTTTGTTATTCGCTGCATCGATATCGTCGATCTTTCTGATCACAGTATCGATTAGGGGTTTGATAACAATGGGTGTTCCATCGTCAATCGGTGAAAGTATCGGTGCCCTACCGAACAATGTATCCTCTCTTTGAGGATCCTCCGGCAGATCTGGCGGCACGTCAAAGAGATCTTCTTCGTCGGTCGATGGCGACAATAGAGTGTTCTTGTTCACGCTCATCGAGCTCTCCTTGCTGATGCTACCTAGCTCGGACTTGTCATCCGTGGACGAAGGGTCGACTGTCGAACGTTGAACGTTATTGGCAGTCAAACGATCAGCTGCGCTGATCGACGGAGCGGAAGATAAATCTTTGGTGGACGAAAAGGTGTTAGTGTGGCTTTCGTCCAAAGAATTATCGTTGTCCGCGCTGTCGACTGTATCGAAATCAATGCCGCTGTGTCGCAGTGCGGACTTTCGGGCATGTCGGCTCTGAGGACGGCGTTTCGCTTGAATTCTTACTCGGCTCTAAAAAAATAGAAATATTCATAATATCTTCATAATATCTATTCATAATAAATAGATGTCTTAATTAATGTTAAAGGTGTGTTAAAACATAATATACTTTAAAATTGTGTTAAACATTAAAAGCTACTCTTTTCCTTCTAAAATACATTTTAAAATACTTTCGTGAAATATTATGCATCATTTAATAAAATATAAAAATTTGTTTATGTTTCAATTTAATTAATACCTTGGATGCAGTAGTAGACAATGTTTCTACTTGAGCTAGATCGTCGAAATTTATAGCAACTTCCACGTTACTAGTAGTAGAGATTGTCGTGGAATAAGAAAATTCTTTGTAGATGCTACCTTCTGTAAAAATAATTTCTCAAATTATTTCAAAATTCAATCTTTTAATTAATTTAATGAATATTCCAAATAAAAAGTATATTAAAATTACAAGTAGAAATCTCGAATGATAATCACCCGACACACTAGGAGGCGAAATACATCCATCGATGCCCTGATCACCGTCTTTATCCATGATGTTTTCGTCATCGTCCATTTTATCCTCGCTCTTCCTCCATAATGGTGGTGCATCCATCGGTGAGAGTATCTTCAAGTCGCCCATTTTACCCATTAGATTCTTTATCTTACCCGACACCGATTTTCGGGGAACCTGCTGGCCGTTTTGTTCTTCAGATGACGGCGAAGAAGTCGTCCGAATGCTCAGTGTTTTCGGCGGTGAGCTCTTCTTTGTCCTGCCATCTTCCTCAGCTTTGGAGATCGTCCCTGCGACATCATCTTTATGCTTTTCTTCGCTTATATCACTCTTTGCAATGACACTTTTGATTTCCGTAATCGCCTTGCTGTCACGACTTAAGCTTGAAGATTCCGAATCTTTGTTTTGCTCAGAAAGTTCCTTCTCGATGATATCCTTTTTTATTTCTTCTTTTTTATTTCTTCTTTCAGGTTTCGATCGCTCGTCCTCGTAAATCGGCCCTGAGTTCTTTTTGCCGAAGAGATCGTCGTAATCATCGTTCTCGAATAGGAGGCTACGGGTTTTCGTCGCCTTCGAAAACAGCCCATCCATGTAATCCGAAGCAGAATTGTCTCTATTTCTCTTCTCAGTTTCCAGACTAGAAGTATTTTTGGAGACGTCGATCTTTGGTTCAACTGATGCGCCTTCCTCGAACGAGGAATGTTTCTTGTTGCTCGACTTATTATTCGACGAAAACAAATCATCTTCGTCCTCGAAGAGGACATCAGTCTTACGGTCGCTCTTCGATTTTATCGATTTTGCGCTGGTGAACAAATCGCCGTCGTCGCCGTCGTCGTCAAAAAGACTGATCCTCTTCGACTCCATCTTCGTGTCTTGGGAATTATCTAGCGATTTAAAGAACAATGAAGTCTTGTCAAAATTAAACGCCATTCTAGGGATCAAAGAAATCAAAACACGCTCTACTTTAGGGTTGCACAAGACCCAAGATAATATTCGTAAAAATATTGTATTGGTATTGAAAATTTTGAAAAATTTAAATCTTATCTTGATCTTGAATGAATATTGATAGCAAAAATCTCGTTTTGTATTATCTTGTCTTGATTTTATTAACAATTTTTTATCTAATATTAAAAAATTATTTAAATAATATTTAAAATAAATATATAAATAATATTTAATATTTACATAATTTTTGTAATATAATTTGAAATAATTATTACTATTGTATTATATTTTAATTATAATTATTACTATGTAATCGATATAAATGCCGTCTGTTTACATAAAAAAACATTTACTGTTTCATGGAAAACAGAAATAAATAACTATTTACAGGCTCCAAGGGAATGTGCAGATATAAATATTTTGGAGTGGTAAAAAAATCAGGTTCATATTTATCCCACATTGTCAAAAATGGCTCGAGACATTTTAAGTTCAACTGCCTCGTTGTGCCAGTAGAAAGACTTTTCTCAATAGGAACTCTGACTATGTCAAAAGATAGAACCAGATTACAAAGTAAATCTTTAAAAGCACTAATGTGCATCAATTCTTGGGTGAAATGCACTTTAATGTCTAAAATTTGTGAGTTTGATTTCTAATTTATAAAAATGTTATATTGTATTAATATTAAACGTTTTTAAATTTATTAATATAAATGTTTTTATTGAATAAAATTTTTTTAAATTCATATATTCGTGATTTTTCTTTCATTTATAAATATAAATATTTTAGTTTATTTGAGAACCAATAATCTTGACAAGACCAATAATCTTGACAGTCTTAGTCTTGGTATTGTCTTGATAACTAATTAAAAATCTTGTCTCAATAGGAACTCTGACTATGTCAAAAAATAGAACCAGATTACAAAGTAAATCTTTAAAAGCACTAATGTGCATCAATTTCTGGGTGAAATGCTCTTTAATGTTTAAAATTTGCGAGTTTGATTTCTAATTTATAAAAATGTTATATTGTATTAATATTAAATGTTTTTAAATTTATTAATATAATTATTTTTATTCAATAAAATTTTTTTAAATTCGTATATTCGTGATTTTTTTTCATTTACAAATATAAATATTTTAGTTTTTTTGAGAACCAATAATCTTGACAGTCTTAATCTTGGTATTGTTTTGATAACTAATTAAAAATCTTGTCTTGATCTTGTCTTGAAATTCAAGACAAGACAAGACATATATCAGATATCAAGACTAATCTTGGTATCTCGTGCAACCCTATTCTACTTACCGATGTTATTGCTCTTCGACGTTACTGAATATTGTTCCCGGCCGCGACTATCGAACAAATCGTCCGAGGTGTCCCTCGATTTCGATTTGGCCACGCCAAATATATCGATGTCCGGCGCGTCTTTGCTGTCGAATATGTTATCGTCGTCGAACAGACCGCCACTTTTCGAGAGTACCTTGGTCGTTTTCTCGCTTGACGATACCGCGGCGAGAAAGTCCGTGCTCTTTTGCGACCTGGAGCCGGAGCTCGCGGCGGAAAAGAGCTCGTCGCCGGAATCGGAATCGTCGAAGAGCAGCGAGGTCTTGGATTTTGGAGCTCGCTTTGAGTCCGACTTGGTGGGCAACGGCGGTGGCCCGAAGAGGTCGTCGTTCTCGAACACGTCGTCCTGTAGCAACGACAAGCTATTATGCTGCTCCTGTCGCGATTGCTGTTGCTGCTGGTTATTGCTGTTGTTGTTAGCGCTCGCCGGGTTGGCAGAAAGTGTTTGCGCCGTGAAGAGGCTATCGCTGGTAACGCGCTCGCGATAGATCTCCTCGGATTTCAGCCTCGTCGAGGTCATCTCCGGTGATCCAAGGCTCATCCTGAGGAAAGAAGAAGCTTGAGTATTTTCAGTTACTTTGCGAATCATTGAACGAAAGCGGTAAATATTGATATTTATCTTTCAACTAAAATCAGAAAAATCGATGTAAATAAGATAATAAATAAATAATTATAAATAAATAATAAATAAATATACAGGGTGTCCCAAAAGTCCCGGACCGAATATTTCATAAACTATGCACTTTAGAAAGAAATGTTTCAGACAAAAGTTGTATGGCTTGAAGGAAGCCATCAGATAGTGGCAATGATTTGATATGAGGGAGTCATTTGAAAGTCACCGTCATATTCATTTTCGATTATCTAACCTTAATAATTTTATGTATAAAATAATGCGAGGAATCAATTGGTGTAAAGAAAAAACATAGTTGTTTTTAAGAAAAAAATAGTAATTTGCAATTAACAATTACATATATTTTTTTAAAACAACTATGTGTTTTCTTTACACCAATTGATTCCTCTCATTATTTTGTACATAAAATTATTAAGGTAAGATAATCGAAAAATAAATATTTTACTAGATATTTTATGGTTTATGCAAAATTAAGAAATGATTTCGAACTTCATAACTCGAAAAGTACTCAATGAAGAAATACTTTATTATAGTATTTTGGAAAGCTCTCGAAATAAGCTACACGAATGTGTAATAAAAAATAGGGGGTTCCATTTAAGAAATTGACGGTGATCTTCACGTGACTTTCAAATGACTCTCACATGTCAAATCATCAATTGCCACTATTTGATGGCCCCTTTCAGGCCATACAACTTTTATCTGAAACATTTCTTTCTAAAGTGCATAGTTTAGGAAATATTCGACTGGTCCGGGATTTTTGGGACACTCTGTATAAATAATAAATAATAAATAATAATAATAAATAATAAATAAATGTATAAATAATAATAATAATAAATAATAAATAATAATAAATAATATATAAACAATAAATAAATAAATAATAAATAATAATAATGATAAAAATATAACTTAATAATGCTTGAGATTATTTTTTGAGGGAGGAAGACATAATGTTTTGTCTTACATAAGACGTAATGCAATCTATTAGTGCAGACTGTAATCAAGTCTCTCGCCATACATTGATAAAGCAAGATAAACTTATGACCTAAATAAATATTATTTGATATTAAGAATAATATGTGCGACATCCACGTTGCAAACAGTTGTTAAAGAACCTGTATATTTAAAAAAAAAAATTTTTGCAGAATTTTTTGTGTCTTTTCCTTATAATCTATCAAGTATACAATAAGGTGGTGCGGACTTTGATTTCGCTATCAAAGGGAAGACTTGGTAATAGACGACACATGTCTGGACGTACACTTTTAATCAGAGTTTTAAAGAGCAACACGATGATATAGTATGCAAGTGAAAATGATATGAACACATCGTGATGATAAATAATTCAAAGCAAACGTTAGATCGTATTGTATCAATTCTTGTTTACAACAAATTAATCGAAAGTCAGAAGTTGTGCCATAGATCAACTAGAATTAGGCAAATGTCATTTCTTACGATTTGTGATTAATTGATTTAATGATTCATAACAAGAACTTATTCATTCATTTGCAACGATATGATAATCAATGTTGTAAAATATGAATAAATTTCGACTTTCACAACTTATTTTATTAAAGACAAAATTTTAAAATTAAAGTGGTTTGAAAGATAAGAATCTAGGAAAAAATTAAATTAATTAAAGTTTGTTGTCACAAACTTGTTTATTTAATTTTTTCCTAGATTCTTATTTTATTAAATTTAAATAATTATCTTCCTGTAATCTTTATCTATTCATCTGAAATATTAAAGAATTATAAATTTGGCTCTTAGATAATTATTCACGCGCATTTAAAAGACGTTCTAAAGATGCCACAAGACATCAGTTTTATTTTTTAAGACATCGTCTTTTTTTTTGTTTTAATCTTCTAAGATCCTGAGTTATTATTTTTGCTATAGAACTTGTAAGAACTTATTAAAGGACAGTAATCCGGTTAAATAATGCGACGTAATGCAAAGTAATGTGTGAGTAATTTTAGAAAAAATGCATGTATTGCAACAATGGAAATTTCTCGGTTTAAAAAATTTTAAAAGAAAATTTTGCTGGAAATTATATAAATATGATATATCTCATAAATGTGGATGATATAATATATTAAAGCTCTTTGTCTCGATTAGGCATAATTACCATAAGTATTCTTGACTCAAACCTTACGATGCTGATTTTTTTATTCATTTCGTAGAAATAAGATATTCTCTGCTCTTATTTCGTAAAAATAAAATATAATATACCAGGTGTCCCAGTTATCTTCCATCATCTTTCAAAGACAGATTCCTGAAATCATTTGAAGACGATTTTTCCTCAGCGAAAATGTCAATGAAGACCATCATTTTTTGCATGTTTCCGATTTTTGTCATCATATATCTTTGCAATTAAGTCTTAAATTAAAACTCAACCAAAATAAACTCTATTTAAAATTAATCAAAAAATATGATTTTGTTAATATTTTATTTCTACAAAGCTTAGTTTACGAAAAACCCCTTATTTCCAATCACTTATAATTCGAAAATTATTAGTGCCTCGACATTTTCGTTGAGGAAAAATCGTCTTCAGATGATCCCAGGAATCTGTCTTTGAAAGATGACGAAAGATAATTGGGACACCCTGTATGTATATTATAAAAGCTGAAGAAAAGCTATTTTAGCCTAATTATTGCTTCCGTTTCCTGGTGTCTTTTTAAGCAAGAAAAAAGACGAAGATGAAGGTCTGTTTTGCGATCTTGTTGATATGCAATTTCGCTCACGCTGCGCATTTGCCAGGTAAATTTGCAATAACTTGATAATTAGAAAGATATATTGCTGAGAAGAAGATATGCAGATGCTGTGAAATTAGAAGTAGTGGAGCGCCTTAAAATTTGAAGAAGTTTCTGTCCTTTAAATAATCATTCTAAAAATGTTGTGAAGGCTAATGATGCTTCCAGCGTACGATGCCTCTCTACGATAAGATCTTATTTACATAGGCAGCTGTTCGTTTGGCGGAGAGACTCTAATTTTGCGTCAACATACTCGTGGATGTTTACGCATTACTTGTTACCAAGGGGGAACAGTAACAATACTCGGATGAGTCCTAATTTTATCTCTCAAATTAATCCTTCTTAAAGTATCTCTTCGTTACATCTGATGTAGAGATACAAGACTTTGTAATATCCTGAAAGAAAAAAAATCGTGTCGCTTTTAATTGATACTTTCGATCGTTTAATTCTCTATTCAAGAAAGCCGATTATTAAATAACAAGCTTTTGATAACCGCTTACCTCGACCTTCAACTTTGCAATTGATTGCGAATCAATTTTTACGAGATGCGCGATTAATCAATAATAACTGATACATGCGCGATTGATCATTCAAATAAAAAAATTAAAAATTAAATTAAATTTAAAAAAAATTAAATTAAATTTTAAAAAAATAAATAAAAATCAAGAAGAGTCTACTTGAGATTCTGATCGAAGAATAATGTATCATTTTTCGTATAATGTTGAATATTAATTTACATGCGCGATTGATGATTCAAGTAAAAAAATAAAATTAAAAAAAAATAAATAAATAAATAAATAAAAATCGAGAAGAGTCTACTTGAGATTCTGATCGATGAATAATGTGTCATTTTTCGTATAATGTTGAATATTAATTTACCAAAGCTTTCGAATCCGCAAAATCGGTTACGAGAAAGAACTATTTATAGTTTCACATGCGTGACTTCCACTCTATTTGCGACGCAGAGAAAGTACATGGTTTCTAGAGCACGATTTATTTGCCAACAAATCAAAGAGACTACGGCTTATTTTAGTTAGCGCAACAAGATGATACTCTACTCGAAATAAGAGAAATTTTACATCTTTTTTTTCTAATAAATATAATAACACACCAATGATATATACTTCTCTATTTAACAATAAAATTTTCTGAAGTTCTCTAAAATTATTTATCCATTTTCAATTTTACTTCATTTATTTTCTGATCCTGTTGAATTTTGACGATATTCAATTATTATCATGTTTCTTTCTTAAGGTCTTTTCTTTTTTAAAGTGTCCCTTATTTTACTGTCCGGAAGAGAACCAAATCGGTTATCGATATGGATTCTAGCAAGCCTTTCCCAGACTGCGAAGGATTAATTTGTAAGATAAAAAGGTCCTCTTAAAGGAACTCTTATATATAAGATCCTTTTTATATTAAATATTTTCTCAAAATAAAAATATCGCTCTCGTCTGAGCCTAAAAAGATACCGAGATCGCCTCTTTCCTCGCTTGCCTGTTTATCGAACCAGCAGAAAAATTGAGATGACTCGCGGCGCGATAATCACAACCGAATTTATCTACTTGCGTCCTGGTGCCTCTCGTCGCTCATACTATTTTTAGTTCGCTTCATCGTTCTTTACGTGCGACGAAGTAACGGCAAAAACACTTTCCTCTCTTTATTCACTCGTCAATTCTGCAAAACTAAATAAAAAAATATTAGCATTAATCCAACTAAATCGTCGCCCGAATTCTCGTTTGTCATTTTTCAAAAATAAACTAAAATAAAATAAAATTCTTACCTTGAAGAAAAGTGATATTTCGATTAATATAAATAAATTCGGCTCTTGAATTGAAATTAACTGGAGAGTGCATCGACTTTGACGTTTTCTCTACTTGCCTTCCATTCTCTCGGAGCTGACAGATGACAGTTTCTCGAACAAGAGAAAGTTCGCAGACCGACGTTTTGCGAAAAAGTTAGATGTTATTTTCATGAAAGTCACTTCGAGGTAAGATTTTTTTCTAAAAAGATTTACTCGGTCGTCGTCGTTCCTCGAGATTGGACGGTGAGAGAGTCGACAACTGGCGACAGGCAACGCATATTCGTACTGAAGAAGCTCGCCTTGGATCGCTCGCGCGGCAGCGCGCGTAATGGAACGTAACGTGGCGAGTGACTAATGTTTGGGTCATCGATTCAATGATACTATAAAGTACTTGGCACACGTGTTGATTCCAGGAGAGAGAGAAAGAGAGAGAGGAAAAGAGAGAGGATGAGCTGGCATGCACGCCTGAGGAGAGACTGCAATATCTAAATAAATAATCCTCAGGAATCAAGAAGCCTCAGGTAGGATTGACCTCGACGACGATTCTCATTCCGCACGCACTCTGGATGCAACGTGAATACGCAATAAAGCCGCTATCTCTTTGTTTTAGACGCCGTCCACGGTAAACGTCAGTATCATGTATCTTCGCATACGGTTTTATCCACGGGATGTAACTTGAGATTCTCAAAGAATTATTTAGTTCGACATTTGATGCGAGTAAATGCGCGCGATCGGTGATATTCTATATCTAAATTGAGGTGGAATTTTAATATCTGCAATTTAATCCAAGAGATTAACGCGACAGTAATTGCTTTGTGAGGCAAATTCATTAATCAACTGTCGTTTCAAGTAAAGAAAGAAATAATCCTTCAATTTTATCAAGCAGGATGCACTCATAGCACAGAATATTGGAGCAATATTATTAATACTGTTGTAACATTGCAGCAACATTGCTGCAATATTGTAATATTGTCGCAACATTGCTGCAATATTTTGTAATATTGCAGAAACATTGCGATATTGCCACAACATTGCTGCAACATTGCAATATTGTCGCAACATTACTGCAATTTTTTGTAATATTGCAGAAACATTGCTGCAACATTGCAACATTGCCGCAACATTGCTGCAATATTTTGTAATATTGCAGAAACATTGCAATATATTTTGTAATGTTGTAGAAACATTGCTGCAACATTGCAATATTGCCAAAACATAGCTGCAACATTGCTGCAATATTTTGTAATATTGCAGAAACATTGCTGCAACGTTGCAATATTGCCGCGACATTGCTGCAACATTACAGTATTGCCACAATATTGCTGCAATATTTTGTGCTGAATGGGTATTCAACATTCAAAAAAATTTCTAAAACACTCTAAAAAATTATTAATTGGAAACGAAGAGAATGATAACTTGCCACAAGCTGGATTCAACTATATGATTGATGGACGGCGTATATATTCCGCTGCTGTTGTTGGTGTTTTCGGCCAATACGTTCTCCGCGGAATTTTCGGCCGGCGTGATTTGCAAACGGCAATCCGCGTCGCTATTGTCTCTCTCCGCAGACGCTAACTCGGCATTGCTTTTTGTCACATCGTCATAGTTTCCGGGCGCGTCGCTATCGGACGACGAGCCGGATGATTCCCGCCGTCGTTGCATTATCTGACTCGACAGTTTGCTCTCGACGTCCGATGACGAAATATTGCCGAGCACCGATTCCTACAATTTATTTTAATCTCTATTAACCAAGTGCATAGATTTTATTTTGATACATAATTGTAATTTTAGTTTTTTTTAATTAGTGCAATTGATGCAAAAATATTAACATTTTTTAAATTATCAGTGGAACGCAAAAATATTAACGTGTAATTAACATTTTATGATAAAAAAATAACATGTAACTTTGGAAATTTAAATTAAATTTATTAAATTGCATTAAATTTAAATTAGGTAAAATTTATTATTTATTTAAAATTTATTAAATTGCAAAAAAGTTTGTGTTCTGAAAAGTTACCGAATATAAATATCAATATATTGTTAAAGAGATTACAAGTCGACAACCTCACCTTTTTATTCGATTCCTGAATCGTATTTGTAGAAGATGGCGTACCCGCAGTTTTATGAGATTGCTTCTTGGGAATTCCAAAGAGATTCGCATCATCGTTTTCATCATCGTTGAACAAGCCCGAGGATGACATTGATTCTGCGTTGATATTGGATTCTGGTGTGCTAGTGGCGACTTTACCGGTAGTCCCCATGACGTTCAAGAATTTCTTGGCTGGAGGACGAATATTATCATCGATGGTGGGTTCTTTCGCGCGTTTCTTGACGATGTTCCTTGACGAAAAGATGTCCGAGTCATCGTCTGAATCGGCATCGGCAAACAGATCGTCGATCGCCGATTTTGGCTTCGTTGCTGAAAGGATGGATGAATTTGAAAAAAAGGATAAATTTAAAATTATTACGAAACGAGAGTTTTACAAAAATAATGATACTTACAAACTATATTAATCGGTGGCGGTACATCAATACTAGGTGGTATAATATTGTTGCTCTTGTAAGATTTGATTGGTTTCTTCTTCCACAGGTTTGCAGATACCTCATCATTAAAAAAATCCTTCTTGTCGTTGAACAAATTATCTGAATTATCGTTAAATATATTTTCATCCTTCTCCGACGCAAATAAATCACCTGATAAAGAGATTATTGAACCTTGTAAATATTTTATTTATAATTTCCATTTTTATTTTCATAATAATATTAAACACATACCTTTAAATCGATTGATTGACGATTCACTGGCCTCATCCACAACAATAGGATTCTGTGCTTGGCGAACAGTACCTAATCGTTTGGCCAACTCTTCTGCAAAATTAGGCTCCGTTTCGTTTGACGTCTGTAATTACAAACAATATATAAAAAAAAAGTTTTCGACTGAAAAGTTTTAGAAGGTAAAAATATAGAAGGTAGAGAAATTTACAGTCAAATTGATTACCTTTGATACATTGTTAGGTGTAACAGATTCCGAAGCAGAATTTATATTATTCTGAGAAATTATATCCGCCTTGTTGTTCATGTAAGGTGCATTATTTGAATCATTATAGTTGTCCGAATCGCTAGAGGACGATGACAATCTTGCTATATTTATATCCGGATTATGTCGGCTGTTAAACATCTTTTGCATACTCGCGTCCTCCTTTTCGCTTTCTGATTCGTCCCTTTCTTCGTCGGCTTGTTCGGATTCGCTGCTGCTGCTCTCCAAACCTATTTTATTCGATGCCGTCCATTTGTCAGATCCAATAACATACGGTAACGGTCGATCTTGATAGGGATCATTGGGTTCAACAATGACACTGTAAATCAACGATAGGAATATAATTTAGAATAAAAATTTTATATATATGGCAAATAATGGCACATTGTGATATACCTGAACATTACTGCACCGCCTTCATCTTCCTCTTCGCTGTCGCTACAAGCTACATCCATTACTTTGTACTTTTCATCCATTATATTTAAACCTTGCTTAACACTCTCGCTTATGCTGGCTAGGAGATTCTCTGGTACTAAATCCTGAGTCTTTATCTTCTCATGAAAATTAAGAAAAATTTATTTTATTTTGGATATTAAAGAATGGACTTTTCACAGACATTAATATTGATATATTAATATTAATATAATATTAATTATATTAATATATTAACATATTAATATAATAAATATTTATATTAATATTTATATTAATATAATTAATATTAATATTAAATTAATATTAATATAATAAATATTTATATTAATATTAATATAATATTAATATCAATATTAATTCCTTCAAACACATATGTACTTACTTCTTGCTTCTCAGAATTTTCCTTAATTTCTATGTCATCCTCTTGAACACGACTTTCAATAAATTGAGTATTGGCTAGTGCCAAAGAAGTATTAGTAACATTATCCACTAATATCTCTGTTTCTTTTAATTGTGTCGTTAACATGTCTAAAGCAGCTTGAGTTTTGTTGGTTCTAGACATCAGATTCTGGAATTTTGTACAAGTTATAAAAAACATAAGTAAGTATCCAAATCGCAAAGTAAATCATACCTCAGAAAATTGTTGAAGATGTTTGAGAAGGCCGACATCACCCGCCAGACTCCACTCCCTCCTCTTCATCCTCATCTCTTCCGTGGTCCAAGGATAATCCCATGACTTGTCTATACCGTCTGACGATTCCTGTCACACGATGCAAATAAAGAATCAATCAAAAAACATTTCATTTCTAGTCGCAATAAAAAATCTCAAGAAAAAAGATATCATCATCAAATGAAATATGTATATCAACAAGTGCAAGGTTTCTGACTTATTTGGACGCAATTAAATTTAGAAAAAAAAAAAAAAAAAACGATTCTTCGACGAAGATCCGTGAAAGAGACTGCGCAACCTGATCGAGTGACCTTCCACAAATCTATAACAAGTATCCTTATTTATACCCGCTAACCTAGAGCGGGAGCAGATGTCGAAGTTTCCTCGCGTATCTCACTCACCATGTCGAGCAACTCGTGTCCGCGTCTAATGCACGGAGAAAGCAACGGAAATTTTCCCTCTCGCGATCACATTTAAGCGAGTCGGCCGAGGAAAACCGTGCGCGAGCTCTCCTTATCGGGACTCGCTCGAAAAGGGGAGAGGAAAAAAAAAAGAGACGGAGAGAGAGCAAGAGAGAAACGCCCGCACCGCGAGCGGATTATCGAAGCAGCGTGAGCTTTCGGAGCTGTCACAAGTCGGCGCCAAGAGCGGGTGATAATCCTCTGATATAAACATCCCCTTTTCTCTCTCTCTCTCTCTCTCTCTCTTTCTCTCTCGCTTTTTACCGATATAGCACAGAACATTACAATATTGCTGCAATATTGCTGCAATATTACTGTAATGTAAAAGTAATATTAATCTGTAATCATTAAACATTAAAAATAATGTTATCTCATACAGCACAGAATATTGCAACAATATTATTTAATAATAAATAATATTATTGTAACATTGCAATATTACTGCAATATTACTGTAATGTAAAAATAATATTAATCTGTAACCAATAATGTTATCCCATACAGCACAGAATATTGCAGCAATATTATTAATATTGTTGTAATATTGCAATATTGCCGCAATATTATTGCAATATTACTGTAATGTAAAAGTAATATTAATCTGTAACAAATAATATTATCCCATACAGCACAGAATATTGCAGTAATATTATTAATATTGTTATAATATTGCAATATTGCCGCAATATTATTGCAATATTACTGTAATGTAAAAGTAATATTAATCTGTAATAAATAATATACAATATTGCTGCAATATTACTGCAATGTTACAATAATATTAATATTGCTGCAATATTAAACTGTAAAAAAAATAATGCCGTCCGTGGACATGGAATAAGGTCGGGTCTACAATAGGTAGTTTAAGCCATAAGCCTTAAGAGATTGACCGTCAAGAAGAGAATCACAGTCAAGTATGAAGAGAATACTCGATTGTGATTGGTCAATTTTTTAAAGCTTAGGGCTTAAATTATGTATCGTAGACCCGGCCTGAAAGATACCCAACAAACACCAAATAACAATTATATATAATTATTAATTACACGTTATATAACAGTTACATAACACCTTACAATTATATTATTGAAATTACAACTAACAATTATACAAATGTCTGGCGTAATTAATTTATACTCTCTTCGTTACTCTTTTCGAACGAAAAAAAAAACAACAAAAAGAAGCTAAAAAAACGGAAGAAGAAAAAAAGAAACACTCGATTAATCCAATCATATATATTATACTTGTAGAGAGCGCCGTCAATTTAGCGCGCGAGGAGGAAGAGAAGAAGCAGATGGGGAAGAGGGGGAAGACGAGCGGGGAACGAGGCATTATTTTGTTCCGCGTTCCGGACAAACGGAACGAATGGATGCGGACCGCGAGCGGCGCCGCCAGATGGCGCCGCCGTCGACGGCGGCGCGCGCATCTCGCCCGCCCCCCTCCCTTCTGCCGTCCCCCCGCCGCCGATGGATTGTTTGTCAATATCCTCCCTCCTCCCTCCGCCGCGCCGACCCCCACTCTCTCTCTCTCTCGCTCGCTCTCTCTCGCGCTTTCTTTCTCTCTCTCTCTCTCTCTCGCGCGCGCGTGCGCTCTCTCTCTCTCTCTCTCTCTCTCTCGATGCGGTCCCCGGGATCCCCGCGATTTTTCCGCTCGTCGTCGACCGACGCTGGATTGGAATGCGCGAGCGAGTCCTGCGGACGCAGTACACACTTATACACACGCACACAAGCAAACCCACATATATACGCACGTGCACGCATATATTTGCGACGATGCGCCGACCGAGTCCATGTCCATCTGTTTGGCCGTTGAGAGGATGCTTCGTCCCGTAACCGCGTCACCGGCGTGACTCGAGGAGGAATCGAGGTCGCTGCTCTGGGGGGGAAGCAGCTAGCGCGGGGAGGGGGGGAACAACGCGGCAGGGTCCGGATCTACCGGGACCAGGTTGAATGCGAGACCGAGGATCATCGGGGATCGTCGACGACACGGCCTCGTTCCGCTCTCGCGAGGCGAGAGGATCTCCTTCTCTCTCTCTCTCTCGAGCTTGGGTGAAAAACAAAATATAACGAGAGTCGCGTGACACGCACAAGACCTCGACGACGGGAGGAGGAGCAGGGAGTGGGTGCGCGATCGTGTGCGACCGAGTTCTCGCTGTCGGTGAACGTCGAGTGTAAATAATGTGAGTTGTCGCCCCGGAGGTCAATCATCTGTATCGATAAATAAAGGCAACAGTCGACTGTTCGATTGTTAAATTGTCCCTGTGGAGCCTCGAAGGAGCTGCCGAAATTTCCCTCGTGCGCTTTTGCGGACTCGCATAAACGAGGAGTCGAAATTCACTGTATCTCTTCAGTTAGTTGAATCAAAGGTAGACTTGGAGCGAAATTATCTCTTACGAAAGAAACGTTTTTTGCGCCTCCAAGGTATCTTAGTTTGTCTCTTCGGGCTCCCCCGCCTTCGTCCAGCCAATCTTTCAATCTGAACATGTACCGAGAAAATGCTGATGCCTCTATGAACTTGTAATATATTAAATATATGGCGATTATTTTTGTAAAGGAGACTTATGTTGCTGATTTTGTTGCAGATACCCTGGAGGAAAATGTGTAATGTCAGAGTGATACAACGTAGAGACATAGGTGGCCAATATAGAGCAATCGAGTATAACAGACTCTTGTGTATCTCGCTTAGTTGATGTACGGAACACTGTCTTAGATACTTGTCTAGCCCTTTTATCGCATATCCTTAGTCTCGCTCTGTCGAAAAATATCCAGTGTTCATAGAAGCGCGAAATTTCATGAGGCCGAAGGTGCCTCAAAAGAGGGGAAACTTTCTTTTGAGAAGGTACAGCGTTCTACGATTGACTGCAACGAACAATGAACCATTCGGGAAGCGGAAAACGTCAGGCGAAGGTTCTGGAAGAAAATTATTGGGACTGCAGTGTCTGCACTTTTAGGAATACAGCGGAAGCATTTAAGTGCCTCATGTGTGACGTCCGCAAAGGAACCTCTACGCGGAAACCCCGCATAAACCCCCAATTAGTAGCTCAACAGGTCAGTTTGTACGCAATAGCACTTTATAACATTAATATACTGCATTTTCAGACTAATTTCTGTGCAGAATATCAACTATGCAAATATCTTTTATCGTTGAAATAGATCTTGCTTTTATAATCTTCCTATTGTTGGCTCAAAGTCATCGTAGATATCGATAAATATATTTATATATTAATTGATAAATATACAGGGTGTCCCATTTTAACTTGGACAGTAAAATATCTCAAAAACTAAACCTAGCAAACAAAAATGTTTCAGACAAAAGTTGTATGGTTTCGAGGGGGACATAAGATAGTACTATTGATTTAACCTGGAAGAGTTATTTGAAGGTCACATGAAGATCACCTTCAATTTCTTAAATGGAACCTACATTTTCTCATTACATATTCTTATAGCTTATCTCGAGAGCTTTCCAAAACATATAATTAACTTAATATAAGTTTTTCCATTAAGTACTTTTCGAGTTATAAGGCTTGAAATATCTTAATTTTACATAAACCATAAAGTCCAGTTAATTAATAATATCTTAATTTTACATAAACCATAAAATATCTAATAAAATATTCATTTTTTGATTATCTTAAATAGCTTAATACTTTTATGTACAAAATAATGAGAGGAATCAATTGGTGTAAAGAAAAAACATAGTTGTTTTAAAAAAATATATGTAATTGTTAATTGCAAATTACATATTTTTTTCTTAGAAACAACTATGTTTTTTCTTTACACCAATTGATTCTTCTCATTATTTTGTACATAAAAGTATTAAGATAAGATAATCGAAAAATGAATATTTTACAAGATATTTTATGGTTTATGTAAAATTAAGAAATGATTTCAAGCCTCATAATTCGGAAAGTACTTAATGAAAACTAACTTAATTATAGTGTTTTGGAAAACTCTCGACGTGAGCTACCAGAATATTTAATAAAAAATAGGGAGTTCCATTTAAGAAATTGGCGGTGATCTTCACGTGACTTTCAAATGACTCTCCCATGTCAAATCATTGCCACTATCTGATGGCCCTCTTCAAGCTATACAACTTTTGTCTGAAACATTTCTTTCTAAAGCACATAATTTCTGAAATATTCGACCGGTCCGGGACTTTTGGGACACCCTATATATAAATATATATTAAAATATATGTAAAATAATAATAATAAATATAGTTAAAATATAAATAAAAATATAATAATAAAATATAATAATTAAAGAATATATTAAAATATATATTAAATATATATTATGTTAATATATATAAATATGTATTAATTGATCAACTCGTACACAGGTTGCACAGCAACAATATGTGCCACTTTTGAAACCAGGCAAGAAGGAAGGGAGCGGTGGTGGCGGTGGTGGTAGCACGACCAGCGGTGTCAAGGAAAAGGAACGCAAGATGGACAAGCCGAGGCGCAAGAACAGGCATCCGCCACGTCTGAAAAATATCGACCGCAGTACCGCGCAAACGAACGAGGTGACAGTCAACAATGTGACCGTTACTATCACAGAGTACAAGCCCAAGGTGAAGAAGGGCTCGGACCAATCGAGCAACGCGAGCTCCGAGGGCGGGAGCCAACACGATTCCAGTCAGGACTCGAGAAACCTCGATGTAGGAACCGACGCCTAGTTCAATGTGCTAATGTTACATATGTGTGTACGAATTATTCTAATTAATACACTGTACGACGTATGTATGTCTTTATTTGGTCAACCGTCGTCATCTTCTAGACCAAAAAGCGACCATTGTTGACTCTCGCTCATTTGTCACTTATGCATCGTCGGATTATCTGATGAACCCAATGAGGTCAGACATTTTATGCTATCAATGGGGAATATTATTGACTACACGCATGATTTGTATATCGCCAGTTTAACAGTGAAAGGAAAAGAATATGCAGGGTGAACCAAAAGTCTGGATACAGTCGAATATTTCGTATAGAATTCATTTTAGAACAAAATGCTTTAGACAAAAGTTGTAAGGATTAAAAGGATGTATTTAACTGTAATATCCATTTGACATTAAGTGGCGTGGCCAAGGTCAGAGCTAGGTCAACTTGAATTTTTTTAATGGAATCCCCTATTTTTCATTGCATATTCTTGTAGCTTACCTCGAGAGCTTTCCAAAACACTATAATAAATTATTTTTTCTTCAAGTACTTTTTGAGTTATATACATCACACAGTTAAATACATCTTTTTAATCCTTACAACTTTTGTTCTAAGATGCATTATATACGAGATATTCGACTGTATCCAGACTTTTGGTCCACCCTGTATATTGTATTGTATATCGCATCGGTTTGATTGTTGGCGCGAAGTGGACGGATTGAATAATTCGCATCGTCAGCAGGAAAATTGTACTTAAAAGCGCTTACTTTACCAATATCAATTTTCTATTCTTTAATATTTATTAAACTTATTTAGCATCTCTATCAATATGGCATAGATTTTAGATTTATAAATGTGTAAAAAGGGAAAGCAAATTGTAAATATCTGATGCAACTTGCCAATCAAACATGAAATTTTACCAGCCATTGTTGACATAATAATGTCCTCGACTGTCATTGAATTTTTACGAGACCACTGCCAGAAAGCGTGTCGTGTTATATTCGAAATTCGTTAACGAACCTAACGATACAATCAATGATTACGTATTAATTTTGCTTGCGATAATTACCAGCGTTACTGGCACTGGTATATATATATATATCTTTTACCCTATTCCAGTTTATCTGCGAGATAAATTTCCCTCGAATGCATATATTTTATCCAGTTCCCTTGATTAATTTTTTAATTGTACTTTTCCTTTCGCGCAGTTGAATTCGCTAGAAGTTGATTATGTTTGAAAATGTTAAATGTTTTTGAAAACATTTAACGTTTCTGAAAATGTACAGATTTAATATCAATTTTCAACAGTGTAATATATACTCGTATCTCGTACTGAATATTTAAAAAAAAACGACGCTTCCTGAGAAAATCTTATTTCTAGCAAATAAGCGAAAGATGTAAAATAAAAATTGTATCGCGTTATATCCATTATTTAAAAGTGTGGATATATGTGCGCATGATATAAAAAGAATATTCAACATCATTTGTGTAACTGCCGGAAAAAGAAATCGACAGATCTTGTTATATTTATTCAAAATTGAATTACACTTGCTCAAGTAGCAAGTCCAATTACCATGGGAAAAAAGTTTACAGTCTAAAATTATTAAAAAATAAATAAATAATAATTTAAAAAAATAAAAATAATAATTGAAAAATAAAAATAAAATTATTATTGAAAAATAAAAATAATAATTTTATTATTATAAAATAGAAAGGGAAGAGTTGTGTAAGAGAAAATTGTTAATATTATTAATTATGCCACCGTGATCATTGTAATACAATTCTGCATTAAGAAATGAAAGTAACTATAGGACTTTGTCAGTATCAGACTAAGAGATATAATTAATAGACGAATTTGAAAATTGTATATACTCGAATGACGAATAATATCACCTAAAGACGCATTGTAAAAAATTCTCACAATTGCCCCCTCCCCTCTCCCCTCCTCCCGCCTCGTCCGGCCAATTTGCTTTGAATTCTTGAATTAAACAAGTCGCGTTGCATAAAACCTGTAGCTTTTGCAGATGTCCAATTGTTAAATAATCAGGTAATTATCAGATAACTACAAATAATAATTACCAGATGAATAAAATCAGATAACCACTTTTACAAAGAGAAACGTGTGCATCAAATATTTTTACAAATTTGTGGGATCATATAAGTTTTACAGTTTCCATCTTACTATGTAATCTGCTTGTCTCTATACGATACAAATATATTCTGTATATTTTAAATGGAACACGAGAGAGAATTCAAAGTGGAACATATTTTCAAGTTTATACAAAATTTTTAAATTCTATATAACAATGTTCTTTCAAATGCATCTTTCAGGATTTTTTGTAGTTCCTCCAAGAGAATAAATAAATGTTCTTGTCCCTACATCGTCGCACATGATATTGTAAATTAAGAACCTATTTTATTACAAGTAATTTCTTTTAATGCACAAGCTCTATATAATGTTACAATGATTACTCATCGTACTTGATCGAATGCTGGAGTAAAATACTGTCAGTTATTCTCAACAAAGATGTCATATTGTACAAGACTTAATATTCTTGACAAATAATCGGCATGTTAACATTACATTGTTAGCAGGGAAATAATAAATCACATGTTTTGAGAAACAAATTTGAGCATATTTTAATAATTAATTATTTTAATAATTAATTATTTTAAATTAATTAATTATCTTATCAGACACATATGTACACGTATGAATCTTAATGTGCCACAAAGATATACTTCAAGTTTTCCTTTTTTCTTTTTTAGCTTGATGCACTTGGCGATGGCAGACTTTCAATTTCCATGTCTTCTATGTCGTTGGTGACGTCCACTAGCTTCTGCTTGAATTCCGAATTTCCAGCCATGAAATTCTGTCGCACTGTCAATCAGCATATTAATTAATGTAAAGAAGCCAACAATGAATGCATACAAAAAATACTTATACACATACCTATAGGAATCTCCCTGAGATCTATCACTTGAAGATTGTGTGCTTTATTATCCCCGCCAGCGACAAATATAAATTGATTATTCGGGTTTACTGCAAGACATTGAATAGCCCCTAAACTATTCGATTGTTCCCATAAAAGAGTAGGAGTCGTGTGCTTGAGAAGATCCCATATCTTCATTACACCGTCGTTTGAACAAGAAACTAACAGACCTCGACACGATGTACAAAGACCTGCAAAGAATATTAGATGAATATATTAAATGGGATTTCTGGAATTTATAGAAGAAACTGTGTAAATTAATTTTTCTTGTAAACAAAGAGCTATCTATACCTGTAACTTCTTTTTCGTGAGCTTTGATTTGCCATACTAGCTTGTCTCCTCTTACATCATAGTATTCTATGTAACCATTATTTGTGCTGACCTGCAAACAAATAGTTATCAGATATAAAGATAAATGATAAGAGAAACATGTACAAGATACGTACAATGCAATAATTTGGATCATTGGAATCCCACAACACCCTTTCCACTTCTCCAGATGCCTTCCAGTTTCGTACAAGTATTTCCTCCTTGCAGTCGAATATTCTTATTAATCTGAAAGGAAATTTTATATATATATATATACACAGAGTGTCTCAAAAGTCCCGGACCAGTCGAATATTTCATAAACTATACACTTTAGAAAGAAATGATTCAAACAAAAGTTGTATGGCTTGAAGGGGGCCATCAGATAGTGGCAATGATTTGACATAGGAGAGTCATTTGAAAGTCATGTGAAGATCACCGTTAATTTCTTAAATAGAACCCCATATTTTTGATTACATATTCGTGTAGCTTATGTCGAGAGCTTTCCAAAACACTATAATAAAGTATTTCTTCATTGAGTACTTTTCGAGTTATGAGGCTTGAAATCATTTCTTAATTTTGCATAAACCATAAAATATCTAGTAAAATATTCATTTTTCGATTATCTTACCTTAATACTTTTATGTACAAAATGAGAGGAATCAATTGGTCTAAAAAAAAAACATAGTTGTTTTTAAGAAAAAAATGTAATTTGCAATTAACAATTACATATATTTTTTTTAAACAATTATGTTTTTTCTTTAGACCAATTGATTCCTCTTATTATTTTGTACATAAAAGTATTAAGGTAAGATAATTGAAAAATGAATATTTTACTAGATATTTTATGGTTTATGCAAAATTAAGAAATGATTTCAAGCCTCATAACTCGAAAAGTACTCAATGAAGAAATACTTTATTATAGTGTTTTGGAAAGCTCTCGAGAAAAGCTACACGAATATGTAATAAAAAATAGGGGGTTCCATTTAAGAAATTAACGGTGATCTTCACGTGACTTTCAAATGACTCTCCCATGTCAAATCATTGCCACTAACTGATGGCCCCCTTCAAGCCATACAACTTTTGTCTGAAACATTTCTTTCTAAAGTGCATAGTTTATGAAATATTCGACCGGTCCGGGACTTTTGGGACACTTTGTATATCTAGATGAATATTTACAATAATAATCAAACATACTTGTCTGCACATCCTGTCAATAATCGATGAGTCTCCTCTGGATGCCATTTCAGAGCTTGTACTTTCTCATTAAATAAATCCAATTTAGTAACAGGTTTGCAAGTTTCCAAGTCCCACAATAAGACCGTTTCATCAACCGAACCGCTAGCAAGCACATGTCTGAAATGAAATATCTTTTATAGTTATTATAAAATTAAGTATTTTATTAGACACATTTTTTGAGGATTTTTTAAAAATACTAACGTATAATTTTGATTCCATGCTATATCTAGAACTGCATCTCTGTGGCCAACACGTTTTTGTCTCTTTTTTTTATTCGGTTTACAGCCCAATTTATAGGCTGGTTCTAAACAATCTATCAAATCCAAGTCCCATATCTCAATTATGGGAGTCATATTGCCAATTGCACATAAATTTCCTGTAAAAACAAGTTAAAATAAAAATATATACAGGGTGTCAGGCAATCTCTTCCAAAAAAAAGCTCTCGTAGCTTACCTCAACCATAAAATATCTAATAAAATATTCATTTTTCGATTATCTTACCTTAATAATTTTATGTACAAAATAATGAGAGGAATCAATTGGTGTAAAGAAAAAACATAGTTGTTTTTAAGAAAAAAATAGTAATTTGCAATTAACAATTACATATATTTTTTTAAAACAATTATGTGTTTTCTTTACACCAATTGATTCCTCTTATTATTTTGTACATAAAAGTATTAAGGAAGGATAATCGAAAAATAAATATTTTACTAGATATTTTATGATTTGCGTAAAAATGAGAGATTATTTCAAGCTTCATAACTCAAAAAGTACTCAATGAAAAAATACTTTATTATAGTGTTTTGAAAAACTCTCGAGGTAAGCTATAAGAGCTTTTTTTTTTTAGAAAGAGATTGCCCTGACACCTTGTATATATATTTTTAATGGAAAATTAACAAATATTTATAGTCTAAATATTTCTCGTGTTTCTTTAATGTGTCTAAAATGCACCTAAATTCAGTGCATCTACATTGTACCATTCCTACTCACCTGGTTTTATATCTGCAGAGTCGTAATTGAGCCATTCTATACATAATGGAAATGAAGGTAATAATATATCATGATGGCAATAAAAGGAACCTTCCCTTTCATTATGTACTGTAATTATTAATTGCGATAAATTAGCAAATCAAAATAAAATTATTTGGCTTTAAAGTATTGGATATTTAATATTTTTAAACAAACCAAATACTTCTAAGATGCTAGCATCATTTTCAACATGGCCAACCAGCACCAGATTGTCATCAGGCTTGATAATATCATCCTCCTCCTCTGAATCTTCATCATCATTTGTTATAAAAGGATCTTTTCCATTCGTTCCATCAAAGCTGGCTAAACTGGAGATGGCGCAATACATATTGCCACCTGCAAAACCAAAATAAACATTGTTATTTATTAAATTATAGACATTAGTCGGTATCGTTCAATTAATTTCCTTACATTCATCATCGTAGCCTTGAAAGTTGTATTCATCGACGCCAGCTTCAGGAAACTTTTCCGTCTTTTTTGCATCCGTTTGCGAAGTAGTTGCCTCTTCGTCAGAATCTTGATCTCTGTAAAAATTGTTGCAGACAATTTTCTCAATAAATAAATAAATATAAACGTTAGATATATTATTACATACTCTAAAACAGACTGTGTCTCCCTTATAATCTTTTCTAGCTCGTCGGCCTTTAATTCGACCTAAAAATAATCATGCAAAATATGCAATTAAATTTTTATATTTTTTGACAAACAATTTTTTTTTTCTTTTTTTAAACGATAGGAATATGATTGGGCCATGCTAACTTTTTCAGGAACAGCTGCAGCGACGCCTCTTTTCACCCACGTGGCACAGGATATAACATTCATTTTCCTTGAAAAAAATTTAAATGTTTCAAATATTAAGGTTTTTAAGCTGCTTTTTTTTTATTTCCATAAAAGTCGGGATCAGGTGACAGCTCGCTCCGCACGTGGCTTTTCGCGGAGATGAGAGATTTGTTCGTTATAGATGAAATTTAGTGCAGTCAGTTCAGCTCGTGCGGCTAAAAAGAGCAGCACTTACAGCGCAGGCGCAACAGGAGGGGATTTCGCGCATGCGCAGCTAACGTCACATATCACATCAGCTGATCAGCACCTGTCAACTATCAATACGATACCGATCGGCGACTATTAAGAGAATAAGGTGAATTATTGTTATTATTATTTCCATTTATTTCGTCGAAACATCACTTTGCGAAATTTTCATATGAAATTTTCGCAATTTCCTGCTGATTATCGAATAATCGTAAATCTTAATTTCGCGCCTTAAGGTTATGCCGGTTAGATTAGGTTAGGTTCTTCACGTGGATATCGACGAGAGAAAGAAAGAATGGACGAGGCAGTCACGACGAAGCCCACGTTTAAACGCACCTTCCCCCAGCGAATCTACTGCGTGGAATTGTCGCCATACGAGTGGTCGCAGCATTTGATCGCCATCGCCCTCTCCAAGGAAATTGTCATCTCTACTATCAGGTTTCAGGTTCGCGTCAAAATTTTTACTGTGTGATAAATGTCAAAAGAAATAATTTTTATGTAAAAGAAAATGTTATATAAATGTTATACAGGGTATCCCAAAAGTCCCGGACCGGTCGAATATTTTATAAACTATGTACTTTAGAAAGAAATGTTTCAGACAAAAGTTGTATGGCTTGAAGGGGGCCATCAGATAGTGGCAATGATTTGACATGGGAGAGTCATTTGAAAGTCACGTGAAGATCGCCGTCAATTTCTAAATGGAACCCCCTATTTTTTATTACATATTCGTGTAGCTTATGTCGAGAGCTTTCCAAAACACTATAATAAAGTATTTCTTCATTGAGTATTTTTCGAGTTATAAGGCTTGAAATAATTTCTTAATTTTGCATAAACCATAAAATATCTAGTAAAATATTCATTTTTCGATTATCTTATCTTGATGCTTTTATGTACAAAATAATGAGAGGAATCAATTGTGTAAAGAAAACACAGTTGTTTTTAAAAAAAATATGTAATTGTTAATTGCAAATTACATATTTTTTTCTTAAAAACAACTATGTTTTTTCTTTACACCAATTGATTTCTCTCGTTATTTTGTACATAAAATTATTAAGGTAAGATAATCGAAAAATGAATATTTTACAAGATATTTTACGGTTTATGTAAAATTAAGAAATGATTTCAAGCCTCAACTCAATTTAAGAAATTGACAGTGATCTTCACATGATTTTCAAATGACTCTCCCATGTCAAATCATTGCCACTATCTGATGGCCGCTTTCAAGCCATACAACTTTCGTCTGAAACATTTCTTTCTAAAGTGCATAGTTTATGAAATATTCGACCAGTCCGGGACTTTTGGGATACCCTGTATAAATATTATATAAATATTATATAAATGTTACATAAAATTTATATAAATATTATATAAATATATAAATATTATATTGCGTACATAAAGAATTGCATAGAATTGTAATATTATACAGAAAATATTGTAATATATAATATATATATAATTGTAAATAATTATATAATAAATTATATATATTATATAAAAATTATATAATATATATAATTTTAAATAACAGGATGAAGATGACACGGTGGAGGACATGGTGCTCCAGCCTATTAAGACGTTTCACCATGATAATAGAACTCACGCAATCGCATGGAGCCCAGAAACCTCCTTGAGCGTCGTCCCCAAGATTCTCATGTTCTGCGTCGCTGGCGCGGATTTTAAGATAAGATTGTACAATAGCGATTTAAATGACACCAATGTGTACGAAGTAAGGATTGTTTGTAGAATGATATTTACAGCCTTGTAAAATTGAATGTGACACTAAACGTTCTAAAGATTTTAGAAGGTCACAAAGATTATACGAATGCAATTTCCTATGAACCAGAGGGTGAATTGCTAGCATCGGTTTCCGATGATCATACATGTAAGTTGTGGGCAGTTAAAGAGGATCAAAAGTGCGTGTCCACATTTTTCTTGACATCGCCTGGTACCAGTGTGTGTTGGCACAATGAAGAATCTGGCAAGCTTTTAGTAGCGGAAAAGAATGGCTTAATACGCATGTACAATGTCAGAAGTCAGCAAGCGATTATGTCTCTCGATTCTGGGGCTGTCCCCTTGATTGCGGCAGACTGGGCACCAAACCCTTTAAAAGTAGCATCGATGGCTGCCGGAGAACTATTACTTTGGGACGTATCTAGACCGAGGTAATAAGAAATTTAATTTAAAAATTTTTTTTCAACACATATACTTTTTTAAAGTTATCTTTTTCCTTACTTTCAATCGCAGCCGTCCCCTTGAAGAGCGAACGCTTCACCTGGAAGGTGGTTTAGAAGTGAAATTCTCACACACGAATGAAAATCTGATCGCGAGCATCGGTTGGCCAGATAACTTGTTGAAAGTCTTTAATTTTAAATCCAAACAGGTGATATTGTGTGGAAAGGTAAAGTTATTCGGCGGCATGACTTGGCATTATAAATTGCCTTATATCTGTGCAGGAAGTGACAGAGACATATGTTTCTGGAGAGTGAATGTAAATTAAGATACATTAAACATTTTATATTTAAAAAAAGGAATCTCTTTTCAATTTTTTATAAGAATTTTCAATTTTTTATATAATTTCATTTATACGTCATTTTTTCTTGTAAACAAATTATTTTTAAAAAATTACAGTTGTTAGGATGCAGTAAAAGGATTAATTACTTAGGATCAATAAAAGGATTAATACTTTAAAAAAAAAAAAAAAAATTTTCAGATTTAATAAAAAAATGTATTTTTGTAAAATGTACTTTATAATAATCAAATTTACATGCAAAAAAGATATGAAAGTAATTTGTATTACACCTGATCACTTATAGTGATATAAAACTATTAATGTATTCTACTGTTTCTCCTTTATACAAGCTAATGGAATAAAAATTTCTATTGATTAAATATGATAGAATAAATTTATAATTCTATTTGAAATTCCACTTATGCTGATATATTCTTGTCTATATCTTCACATTCTATTTGTTCCGATATATTCTCTTCTATATTTTCTTGAGATGTATTCTGAAGCACTTCTGACGGATTTCTTTTTAATTCCAAAGGCTTTATCTCGTTTTCTTTGATTAACTTTTCTTTGACAAACTTATCTAAAGCTTGTGAAAGTAGGAGTTTATTATTATCATCATTTAATTTGTTGGTAAGTAAATAAGCTTTATCGTAGACGATTTTGGGATCCGGCATGCAAACTCGTTCTTCTTTGAACTTGATTTCATCATACTTCAGTTTTTCAATCTCGTCCTTAATTCTTTTACAATTTTCACTTTCGCGATCATGTACTGCAACATTTAAAGTAAATTATATGTATAAAAGATATACAGGATGGCCCCGAACGTTCCAGCCAGACTGAGATCTTATAGGAAATTTAATTCTGAACAAAAAATTTCCTATAAACATGGGTCGAAAAATGCTTCCTTAAGAAGTTATCGCTCAAAAATCTAATGAAGGAAGAGCAAAAGATGAAAAGAAAATGAAACTAAATAAATTTCTTGAAAAACGTCTTTATTCATTTTCTACTATTACGTGCTATTACTAAAATATTAGTTTTAAAAAAATTATTTTATTTTCATAAAAGAAAAAGATTTTTATTTTTTATTTTTATCGTTTTTTTTCAAGAAATTTATTTAGTTTCATTTTTTTTCATCTTTTGCTCCTCCTTCATCAGAGGTTTTTAAGCAATAACTTCTTAAGGAAGCATTTTTCGACCCATGTTTATAGGAAATTTTTTGTTCAGAATTAAATTTCCTGTAAGATCTCAAAGTCTGGCTGGAACATTCGGGGTCACCCTGTATACATATATATTATAGAAAAATATAGAAATGATAAAAGATATTAAATTGACAAATCTCAATACTATATGTAATTGTATGCTAGTTGCACACAAGTTTCATAAATTAAAAAAGAAAATACTAACTCAGGAGAGTCAAAAGTTGATTTCCCAGTTGACGAAGTTTAGGAATCTTTTCTTTATAAGACAAGGTTGTTTCATTTATAGCATCGTCCAATAACTCCAATATCATTTGCGTAAATTGCGTTTCTTCCTCCAATGATAATTGATTGAGAATCGAATAATCCAGCAGCAAATTCAAAAGACCGACACATAAATAAGCACGTATACTTTGCGATATGGGATAATTGGTTTTCGCGTAAATGCTGCCTTCATCTGTTGGTTTCCTAATATCCAATTTCGTGAGAATATGAATGAAGAGACTTTCAGTATTCACCGTTCCATATTCGACTGCCATTGTCTCGAATTTGAATACATCACCTAATATCGCTGCTATATGTTTCAATTGAGTCAGTTTTGCGTCGCATGTAGCCGCTATAGCGATCCGATAGGTAACATTCAATTGCATCTGAAAACGTTATTTTAATTAATTATATAAATATTATATTATTACATAAAATTATATAAAATTATATAAATTATATAAAATTATATAAAATTATATAAATTATATAAAATTATATAAATATAAAATTATATAATTATATAAATATTATTAATACATAAAATTATTACATTAATATTAATTATATAAATATTATGTACAAATAAATAAAAATTATTATATTAATATTAATTATATAAATATTATGTATAATTAAATAAAAATTATTACATTAATATTAATTATGTAAATATTATATACAAACATATAAAAATTATTGTATAAAAATAATATCAAAGATATTGCTGAAAGATTATGTTGAAAGATTGTTATTTAAGAAAGAACGTCTCTTTTATCTGTTTACGTTTCTCTCTCACCATTATATCCTTTGCTTCATTCCGAAAAGTGTTGGTATTTTCATTCTTGCACAAAATAGCATAATAAGAAGTGTCATATTTCACTTGGAGAATCTGTAATGCTCCATGTTGTCCCTTCCTTTCGAACCAACTTCGCATTAAATCAAGCTTATTTTGTGTTTTATACGTGCTCATAATTGCTTCATGAGCATCAATATGCGCATTCAAATACTACAAATGTACAGAAAATTTTTAATGTTTCATAAATTTATAGATAATTTATACATTTATTTATTTGTGTACATTTACCTGAATCTGTCGAAAATTTGTGATGAGGGAACGCGCTTTTGCCCACTCCGATTTGATAAGAGAACGTGTTACCGCATCCATGATTAAGGACAAACCATATCCCTCGTCACCGCTTAGAAACGCTAATTCGGATGCTACCTCCAAGCAATATATGTCTTTTCGACGAGCAAGAATTTTCGCCGCCTTATCAAACTGTTTTAATTCTACGCGGCTGACACGTGCAACATCAAATATTAAAAATTAAAAAAAAAACAGGAACTCGTTAACTTTATTAATTATCTATGTTATGCAAATATTGTCTCATGTATTGTCATATATAAAATTAATTATCCTACCAATGAGCTGCTTGTTCCAGTTGACCATTGGAAGCACTCCAGTCTGACCACGATTCCAATATCTTTATCAAAAACGGATCATCGGAATCTAATCTGAATCTCGCAAGCACATAAGCCTCCTTGTGCATATTAGCATTTAGAAATACATCTATGGCTTCATAAATTTTGTGTATGCAAAGTAAATACGACACTGCTTTCTCCACATTGCATTGGTTTATTAATTGGTGCGCGTACGCTTCGCACATCTTCCTCCACATTCTGTAAAATTGCAATATAAAATAAATATCAATATAAAATCAATATAAAGTCAATATAAAAGGTGTCCCATTTTAATCGATCATCTTGAATAACTTTTTTAATTTTGATTGTAGAAAAAAATGTTTCAGACAAAAGTTGTATGACTTGAAGGGGGACATAAGATGGTGTCATTAGTTTGACATTGAAAAGTCATCTGAAGGTCACATCCAATTTTTTAAATGGGACACCCTATATGCTTTTGCATATTCTTATAGCTTATCTCGGGAGCTTTCCAAAACACTATAATTAAGTTTTCATTGAGTACTTTTTGAATTATGAAGCTTGAAATAATCTCTTAATTTTAGATCATAAAACATCTAGTAAAATATTCATTTTTCGATTATCTTACCTTAATACTTTTACAAAATACTGTACAAAATAATGAGAGAAATCAATTGGTGTAAAGAAAATACATAGTTGTTTTAGAAAAAATATGTAATTGTTAATTGCAAATTACATATTTTTTTATTAAAAACAACTATGTTTTTTCTTTACACCAATTGATTCCTCTCATTATTTTGTACATAAAAGAATCAAGGTAAGATCATAGAAAAATGAATATTTTACTAGATATTTTATGATTTTTCTAAAAATAAGAGATTATTTTAAGCTTTATAACTCAAAAAGTACTCAATGAAAAAATACTTTATTATACTGTTTTGAAAAGCTCTCGAGATGAGCTATAAGAATATGCAAAAGCATATAGGGTGTCCCATTTAAAAAGTTGGATGTGATCTACACGTGACCTTCAAGTGATTCGTCAATGTCAAACTAATGACACCATTTTATGTTCCCCTTCAAGTCATATAACTTTTGTCTGAAACATTTTTTTCTACAATCAAAATTAGAAAAGTTATTCGGAATGATCGATTAAAATGGGACATCCGGTATAATAACATTCTTTTATATATTTTCTTAATTATTTGCAGAAAAAGTATTCGTGTGTACTTCATGGAAACCTGAGGCGCGAGGGATACCAGAAAATCATTTAGTTGTTTATCCTTAGCCGCGGATATCAGATTGGTTTCCAGATTGTCGCTCCACATGTTCATCTCCGTAATGGCATTTAAATTAGTTTGTGATGATTCTGCAAACAAATAATTAGTGATTAAAAATAAATTATTAATAAAAAATTCGATTACAGACACAAAACATGTAAAACTCAACTTACTTTCCTCGTTAACGAGTTTCATAAGATTCTTTTTTTCAGAAAACATCGATAGGTTTGTAATATTATTTTCTTCTTGTTGATTACCTCTTATATCGTTTGTGATAAAATTTAAAATATGATTTCTTTCTCTGGATTTCTCGTTCATCATTTTATTGTACTGGTTAAAATATGTACGTCTCTCCTTTTTCTTTCCTAGCGCTTGTTCATACTCTGCAATAACGATATAATCTCAATGTAATTATGTGGAGACTGATTGTATTTAAGAAATTCTATTATGCTATTACTTATATATGTGACAGATTCATTATCTGACATTGCCGGATTATTCTCTCCGTTCATTTTGTTTTTTGAGCTTTTCTTTTGTGACTTCTGCTTCTTTTTCAACAATTTGATATCGGACATTTGCTTGGGCGACTGCTCTGCTGAAGTATAATCCCATATGCGTAATATAAAGTCCGACGATCCTGTCATTATCAATTGCGGTTTAAGGGGACTCCACATACAACATAACACAGGTCCGTCGTGACCTATGTATGTACCTATCAACTCCTTCTTTTCAACGTCCCAAACCTAGAAAATAATAATTGAATACTTAAATAAATAATCATGTGCACATATCTGTGTATTCTTATTTTTTTTATGATTAAAAATAATTTTTCAAATAATACTTGATATATTCAATAATATATTTTTAAAGTATTAATTCTAAATTTCACAATTTAATAAAATAATAATTTAATAATAAATTCATTATTAAATTTAATAAATTTCACAAAATTTAATAAATTTGAATTTAATAAATGACACATAATAAGGCATAAATTAGTCAATAAATGAGTCTAGTTGTTTAAACTGCTATATAATTTGCATATTTGACCTGTGCGACATTGTCGTAACTACCAGACACCAAGTACCCGCTGACGTGCGGACTCCAAGCAAGGCACACCACTTTATCGATGTGTCCGTTTAACGTTGCTACCATTTTGTACAATTTGCACTCTTCATTATTGTCTTCTTCCTCATTACAATTCTCGGGATTCATCTCTATTTCTTTTATCAGTTCTGACATATCACAAATTATTATATTCGAATCGAAGGCAATTGCCAAGTAGTTGGCATATGACGATGTCCATTCATCTGTTGAAGTACTGTTAGGATGCCATGCTAAGCAATTCACCACAGATCTTAAAATGTGTATTGTGCTGTTGCGTTTCCTCAGTTTTTGATCATAAAACATAATTGATCTGAAAGAAACATTCATGTATTTGATGCAATTAATTTAATCATTCTTTAAAATATAAATATAAATTTAAATATATGACTTATAATATAAACATAATATAATATAAATATAATATAATATATAATATAATATAAATATAATATAAATATAATATAATATAAATATATGACTTATACCCATTTTCTATCGCGATTGCTAAGCACAAATTGGATTTCCAGGCAAATTCCGTGCATCCTTCCATGATTATGGACATGGGATCTAAAATATAAATTGCGATAAGAAAACAGTGATAAAATTGCGAGTTTTACATCAACATCTTACCGCTGTTAGGCGTAGATTTCTTGTGAGCTACTAATTCTCCTTCTGCACAGGAGAACAAAAAGTATTCCGATTCAAGTTTAGCCCATTCAAGCTTGTAAACAGTATTTCTATGATACTGCCTGTACAATATAGGTGGTTTATTAGTTCCAACTGCGTCAAATACACCAATGCGACCCTCTGAAGTACCAAAAGCCACCGTGGATTCATCATCAGGAAACCATGATACCTGATACATTTACAAGATATCGTTTGATACTTTTCATAAAAAATTCTCTTAAGAAATTAGTTTTGAAATAAAAACTTAAGATATTTTTTACCGCTCTAATCTTTCCTCTTATCTTTTGCCAATGTGAAGAAACATCAAAAGTCTTTGTGTGAGGCTCAGACAAGTTCCACAAACGCAATATTGCGTCTCCAACGCCAAATACAATACGCGAAGTATCGATGGGACAAGCTGCCATGCAATAGACGAATCCTCCTTGCGTAGGAATCTTGTATTCCAGAGTCGCCGGTTTGGAAGGATCGCTATTTTGTTTACAACATATAATCCAGCGATCTTGTGCTAAGCTCCAAACCACGAGTCTAAAATGTTACATGATAAATTTCAATGTTTTATATCTCATCGCAATTCAGAAAATGTATACTCACTCAGACTTTGTCCTCCAATTATCAGATTTTTCATTGTTTTTTGGCATAGGAGCTATGCAAAATAATCCTCTGCAGTGATACGTATGGAATAAGTTGGGCTTGCTCTTGCTTGTTGAAAGATCCCAAGAGAGAAGTTCACCCCACAGAGAAGAAGTTAAAAGCACTTTAGGTTCCACCCAACATACTGCGATCCAAGTTCCAGTCGAACTGCCAAGTTTGCCTTTGTGACAAGAATTAGGGAATGGCATATTTGGTATATTTATCGTAGTCTCATATCTACCATCTCCACCAGCTCTCCAAATGAACACATTTCTGGACATGAAAGGAAAGAACACAAAGAAAATGGTATGAATATAACAATAATATACTGTTTTAAATGTTATTTATGATTATTTTTTCTGATAAAGTACTTATTATATACATTTCAAAAAAGTAAAAAACATTTTCTTTATAAATCGGGTGCGTCCCATCGAATGGTGATATTTTCAACTTCTGGTTCCGAAAATAGGCGATTCAGACAGGAAGTGCATTTTTTTAAATGGAATTTTCTATTTTTCATTGCATATTCTTGTAGCTTACCTCGAGAGCTTTCCAAAACACTATAATAAATTATTTTTCCAGAAGTACTTTTCTCGTAAAATATTCATTTTTCGATTATCTTACCTATCTCTAATACTTTTATGTACAAAATAATGGAAGGAATCAATTGATATAAAGAAAACATACAGTTGTTTTTAAGAAAAAATATGGAATTGTTAATTGCAAATTACATATTTTTTCGTAGAAACAACTGTGTTTTCTTTACATCAATTCATTCCTCTCATTATTTTGTACATAAAAGTATTAAGGTAAAATAATCGAAAAATGAATATTTTACAAGATATTTTATGGTTTATGTAAAATTAAGAAATGATTTCAAGCCTCATAACTCGAAAAGTACTTCATGAAAATATAATTTATTATAGTGTTTTGGAAAGCTCTCGAGGTAAGCTACAAGAATATGCAATGAAAAATAGGGATTCCATTTTTTAAAAAATGCATTTCCGGTCTAAATCGTCTATTTCCAGCCGGAACCAGAAGTTGAAAATATCACCATTCGATAGAGCACACTTGATTTACAAAGAAAATGTTTTTGCTTTTTTGAAATAACCACTTCTCTAGTTTTTAAATGGGTGATATGGATGGTCTGAAACACCCTGCATATTTCATATATGTAATTAATTCGATAAATAAATCATAAATAGATATTTAAATCATAAATAGAAATTTATAATATCAAAATATTATAAAAATTTTGTCTTACCGGTCTTTTGCACCGGAAGCTAAGAGTAAATCTTTCTTATTATTTCCACTCAAAACATTTACATCTGAAGGACACCAAGATAAACTGACTATTTCCTCATTGTGTCCCCTCAGTTTGTATGTTACTGTTTCTTTTTGAACAATATAAATTAATCCACTTTTGGTACCTACTGCCACAAGATACGGATCATGGGGACAGCAAGCCAAACAAGTAGCAGTTAGCTTGCCTAGAGATATTATTTTAGATGTCTCATACGATATGTAACAACGCATTAGGAAGCCTTCTGAATTTAGCGCGTATGCAATATTGCTGTCTTTGGTCGACCAGTCAACTCCTACAATTGACTTGCTCTGAATTAAGAGAGAAATACAAAAATTACAATCATATTAATAATTCAAAATAGAATATAAAATAAGAATATAAAATAAAAATAAGATAAATCATCATTTTGACAAGAAAATTAATCTTCTTCTTTAATGTTTGTGAGATATTGCGTTTATATATTCGACTTGATTTAGTAAAATTTTGTTGCTTACATCTTTAAAAGAGAATTGCACAATCACTTCTAATGTATCCATACTCAAAATTTTGACTTTATCCTCATCTCCGCCAACAATCAGTAATTCTGGGTTGTCAGGATTAGGACAAAATGCCAATGCTGTTACTCTGTCTTTGCAAAAATCCTTAATTATCGAATACTGTAGATCAGGATGACCCTTTTCATGTTTGGCAATAATCATAACATTCTTGGCGCCCCATGCCAGAGTTCCACGTTTCGAGCAAGCAAGAATATTGCTCAGATACCAGTTTGGCGAGGGTGGCAACACAGTCTCATTCATCCTGCCGTATTTTAGTACTTAGTATTTAATCCTTTAGAAGGATAGAGCAAGTCCTGTAAAATTTTACAATAAAATTGAAAACAATTCTTATGAAATATTACAGTAAAATTATATATCCTATAAATGAGGAGATACTTCCTAGGAATAATAATAAATAATAAAATAATAATAAATAATAAAATAATAATAACAAATAATAAAATAATAATAATAAATAATAGAATAAATAATAATTGTGACACAAGGATAACGTTTCTCGTCCGAAAAAAAGTATAAAAGACAAAATAACGTGATGAAAATTTTAATTTTATTATTTTTAAATTAATTTTGTCATTTTTAAAATTTTATTAATTTTTAATTTAAGTTACGTTTTTAATTATTCTCATATGTTTACACATTTGTAATAACGGAATATTAATTGAAGGTTAACCGGTATGATTGATATATTTTTAGACTTGTAATAAATTTATGATTATGTCAGTTTTTTATTGAAACGTCAAGGAGAGAAAAATGATTTCCTAAAATTACCTCGTTGAACGTAGTGTCACAATCGCTTAATTAGCTATTGTATCGGCGTATTATCTGCTGACAACAAGCACGTGATAATTTGTATCGATTTTTCTTCGGTTCAAATTAAATGAAGAGTGTTCGAAAATCGTACCAGTGGGATAGAGTAGCGTTCGATTGGCCAATCAGAAGAGAAGCAGCAGAGATTTCTTTGTCCTGATTGGTCAATTATATAACGTCACTTTATCTACTACTTTATTTACTACGGGAGAATTTTCGAACATATCTCTAGAGGAATCCTTGAAAATTATTTTTTTTATTTTTCCGGTGTGTATTGATTTATATTGATTTGTATTAATTTTTTTGCGAAAAGGTCGATATGATAGTAAAATTATATATCCTATAAATAAGGAGATAATTCCTAGGAATAATAATAATAAATAATAAAATAATAATAAATAATAAAATAATAATAATAAATAATAAAATAATAATAATAAATAATAAAACAATAAATATGACATAAAAATTCAGAGTGTTTCAAACGAAAATATAAAAGGTATTAAGATCTTTGATTATTAACAAATTTTATTATTCAATTTTTACAGTACCACATTTTTCGATTAATTAAATATTTATATTTTCTAGTCAATAAATTAATTGCTATTCTTTTTGAAGATTTCATCGTTTTCTAACGTTCATATTTCAACGTTTTAACATTTCAAATTTTAAGGAGATCTGTCGAGGATAAAATTTATTCGAAATTAAATGTAGAAGAAATGGAAGAGATTTTCAAGAAGATTTTTATCTTCAATTAATTGCTTGTAAGAAAACAAATCAAATCATTGATGTGTTATTTTTGTAATTTTTGTAATTTGTGTTAGTTTGTAATTTTTTCCTAATAAAAAACTAAACAAACACCAAATAACAGTTATATAATTGTTGGTTATATAATTTTCTACTCAATATAATATAACTGTTACATGTTATATAACAGTTATATAACATGTAACAGTTATATTGTTAAGTGGGAAATTACAACTAACAATTATATAAATGTTACTTGGTGTTTGCTGGGCAATTTTAAGAATAAATTTTTTATATAATTTATGAAATCTATTCTTAATATAATAATTATATAATAATTATATATAATTGTAGAATAATTTTATACAAATTTTATACAAAAGATTATTAAAAAATTTCTTCGAGATTCATTAATTTTCTTCATAAAAGAGATTATCGGAATAATTTTATTCGAAAAGACATTTTTATCAAAGGGAAAAAAAATGACGAGGCTCTTTTGCCTTTCAATTATTTCAGTTTTCAAAAGTTGATTTTAAAAAGAAAGCGGCTTATCTGGGACACCCGGTAAATCAATTCAGCATTTAAGAAAGTACCACTGGACTATCGCACATCGCACAGATATATTTTAGATTTCCGCGCCTTCTGTTTCATGCAACACCGACAAATCGATGTATTTTTCGTACGCATGTATTTTTCCTCCGTCTACGATCGCATGACTAATAACGCGATAGTAAGTGCGCTTCCCCTCGTTCTTCGTCACCTGCTTCTTCTACTTCCAGACTGATAAAAAAAATCGTAAACGAAGCCGATGATTATCATTTTAACAACAACAAGTAACGAGCGGAGGCCAGATATATTGATCTCGTTTCCTCTGTTTATTTTTTGTTCTCTTCGTCGATAATATATAACATTTTTCACATTTTTCGGGAGGCTCGCGTTGGTTCCTTCTTCTTTTTATCGAATTATTAATTAATCAAATCGCTCGTCGACGCGATGAGATTTATCGCGCTCGTATATTTCTTGACGTTTTACGGCCTGGTCGACGCGGCGCCGGCAGCCATGGCAGCCAAATTGAACATGTGGAGAGAATTCATGGAGGGAATAACGTGGATCAACAGCTGGAACCAGGCGAGAAACAATCCTGATGTCATTCTCGACACGGTAAGCATTCACAAAAAATAATATACACAAAAAAAAACACAAAAAATACAGAAAAAATACACAAAAAAAGTGTCGAATCAAACTTACATACTTAAACTAACGCGTTCATTGTTTCGTATATACGCAACAATTTATAATCTTAGAAGAATTTAATAATTTTAAATTTTAACAATAGTATAGTCTTATTTTAATAATGTAATTGTCACCTCAAGAATATATAATTATTTGATTCTACTTTAAGATAATTATAATCCTTGATTTAAAAATGTTATTTTCTATCCAACATTATTTCCTTTCCATTCAAGAAAATTAAATTTTAAATCGTAAGAATATATTTTTCTCGATTGAACTATATAAAATGGCTTCATTCAAGTAAGCAATTATTCAAGCAATTATATTTTTCTTTAATTAACGCAATATAATTTTTTATTTCAAGATTTCCATGTTAAAACTAAAGATATTTTCAAAACAAGAATCTTTTTTTTTCTGTGTATACAAGAATTTAAAAATAAATTTTGAAATCCAAAAAACGATGGCAAATGACCTTATTTAATTAATTATTGACTATTAAAAAATATGTATTTATACATATATATTATAATTGTGACGTAATTATTAAAATTATTTAATTAATTATTAGCTCTTCAAGAGGTAAATCTACAAGAAAAAATAATTAATTCTCTAGAATTTGCCTTCGAAATAATTTGTATCGAGTTTGTATTCTCTAAAAATTATTCAGTAATTAATTCTTTTAGATAATTAATTCCTTTACAGATAATTATCTTCTTTACTTTATATTTTATGACTTATAAATATAAATATTTAATAGATTGAACTATTTCCTTAAAATTCAAAAATTTATATGCATTCTTACAATAAAATATATTTTTAAAACTTTTTTAAAAATAATTCTATAAATTATTATAAGTTAAAAATTAATTTTAATTTTTTAAAATATATTTAAATTTTATAACAATTACTCTTTATATTAATTAGATATACATATATGCAAAATTATTCTCTGCAAATTTAATATAGAAACAAATTCTATTATTTAGAAAATAAATAGTATACCTTATCGTACAAATTTACTTCAGCTTTAGATTAATGTTACGAGTGCCCTTTTTATCGATTCTTCTTTCAGCTGGAGATGATAAGAAAAGCGGGTTATCCCGCAGAGGCTCATGTTGTAACGACAGAGGACGGTTATCGCCTGACGTTACATCGAATCCCAGGTGCAAATGATTCTCTACCTGTGCTACTGCAACACGGTCTGTTATGTAGCTCCGTTGACTGGATCTTTCTTGGCAAAGGCAAAGCACTCGGTACAATCCTTTATACATATAATCTTTATACATATAATTTATCCTTAGCAAATATTCCGAAGTTATATCCTTAATATTCTATCAGAAAAATGCCTAGAAAAATGCCTAGAAAAATTATAAAATTTAAATAGCAAACAATTTTATTTTAATTGTAATGCAATTTTTAATACATCTTACTTTTTGAACATTGTTAAAATTTATTATGTGTTTATTATAAATATTTTTACATACATATTTATTTCATAATTATATATATCATATATTTAGAACTGTTTATTTAATTAATTTAATTAAATAATAATTCATGGATTATAAATCAGAATTCGCAATCTTTATCTATTATTATTATTATTAAAGAATATTAGGTAAATATTAAGCAAAGATATTGTGAGGATATTATATGAAAAGATCTAAGTTTATCATAAATGTTGCAAACAATTTCCTCGGGATTTTAGCTTATTTATTAGCGGATCAGGGATACGATGTTTGGTTGGGCAATTTTCGTGGTAATACCTACTCGAGGGCGCATATTTCCCTATCTCCGTCGAACTTGACATTCTGGGATTTCAGGTACTATAAAATAAAAATAATATGATATATAAAAATAATATATTTATAATAAAAATGCTTATATTATATAAGCATTTTTGATAAATATTTATTATTATTACTTATTTAAATATAATTATATCCGGAAATGTCACGTTTGCCTATTATAAACAGTATAAAAGTTGTATTAGATGCAGTTTTTTTAGTAAGATGATTTTTTAGGCCATTAGATTTGCAGAAAATTACGTTATCTTTGTGGAAAATGAGAGAAATAATAACATTAGAATAATGTAACAAACTTAATTTAATTTTCAGTAATCAATATAAAGTGAGAAAAGGAAACAAAGATGTATATCGTAATTTTAATTATAGGCAGAGAAATATCTAATCCTTTCATCAAAGGATCTATAGAAATATAAGAAAAATGATATTGTTGATAATTTGACGCAAAATTTGAAAATAAGCAAGAGCTCGGTGCATTTTATGATCAAAATTTGCTTGGAATTTGGAGCTATTTCAATCTATTATGATTTAAAAACGCAAATCTAATTAAATATTAAAATCTGTTACAAATGTTCTTTTGATATTTGTAACTTCTCGTTGAAAAACGTGACATTTCTGATCGTTAAAGTCTTAAAAATGAGTCTTAAAAATATTTATATCACTTTTTATTAATTCTAAAACGTTATCAGTATCATGTTTCGACATAAATGTTTTTTAATACGATCATAAACATATTTATTACATTTTGTGATGTCAATTGAATTTTCAATCGATTAGCTTCAATGAAATGGGCATCTATGATTTACCCGCGATGTTCACATATATCACGAATATTACATCTCAATCATTGCACACGTACATCGGTCATTCTATGGGTACAGCTAGTTTTTACATAATGGCATCAGAGCGTCCGGAATTCGCACGAATGGTGCAAAAGATGATCAGCTTTGCACCAGCAGTTTTTATAAGCCATATGAAAAGTCCGCTAAAATACTTCTCTAAAACATTTCCCTTGGAATTATATAAGGTAAAGTAATTTAATCTTCAATTATAATTTTGTTCTTTGACGAATTAAAATTAAAATCCAAGCAACTCTCGAAACTTTTGTAAATTATTCCATAAATAATTCTAAGCTAATTTAATTAATTTTTTTAACAGCTTAGAATTATTTATGGAATAATTTACAGAAATTATATAAATAAATAAATAAATTTTTAATAGAAAATTTATTTATTTATTTATTTACTATGTTTATTAAAAATTTATTTATTTATTTATTTACTAAATCCCCAAAATATCGCAAAAGTTGGAAAAGGAAAGAATAATACATTACAAGTAAATTATACATTACAAGTAAAAAAATATTTTCCTATAGCTGATCATGCGACATTTTTTCCACAACGAATTCCTGCCACAGAACAATTTTTGGAAGTATCTCGCAAAATATGGTTGCGAACAGAATATTATTGAGGAAAAGATCTGCGCCAACTTAATATTCATAATCTGCGGTTACGATCGCGAGCAATTGAACTACGTGAGTAGATCGAAATAAAATGTCGATTATTACGAAATTTCCATCATTTGAATATCGTCCGATCATATTTTAGATTGAATTTTAACGCATGTCCTTATTTAGACTCTACTACCTATCATCTTAAGTCACGATCCGGCTGGAGCCTCGACCAAGACAATTCTGCATTATATCCAGATATACCAAACCGGCAAATTTCGTAAATACGACTACGGTCTTGATAAAAATCTGTTGGTGTACAACTCATCGGAACCTCCGGATTACAATCTGGCAAATATTACGGTCCCGATCGCGTTGTTCTACGGTCTTGGTGATTGGCTCGTTGATTCCGTGGTGAGTAACAAAGCAATTCAAATAAAATATGTAGCGAAGATTAATTCGCGTTAATTCTGCATAAGTCAAGTTTTAACGTCAAATCGAGAAGATAGCTTAAAAGAAATTGTGCCCGCGATGATTCACGAAAGGATTTTTTAAGGATGTGAAGAGACTGTACCACATATTGCCCAATGTAATAGACATGTACGAAGTGCCGTGGCCCGAATTTAATCACGTGGATTTTATGTTGGCCAAGGATGCGCCCAAACTCGTGTACGAGAGAGTGTTCAAGCTTATGAAGGGGGAAACTTCGAATAATATTACATCGATGAGATAATATTACATCGTTAATTAAATTATATAAATGATGAATATTGCATGTTGCTAAGTCTTTACTAAAATTGAGTTGCAATCCTACAACTGTTAACTCAATGGAACGTAAACTGATAATATTCTTGTATTATTTATAATTACTGTAAAAGCGAATTAGATTAACGCTCGCGTTTTTAACAATCCTTGTTCCTTCTAATCATTGCGATGGATTGCAAAGATAGCTGCAATGTGATCAGTATAAATGTCAATTTGCAAATATAAATAATTGCAAAAATAAATAGAAAATAAATATAAATATTTGTAAAAATAAATATAAGATAAATATAAAATAAATATAAAATAAATATAAAATAAATATAAAATAAATATTGTAAATATAAATTTATATTCACATTTATATTCACAATTTATATTCATATTTATATTGACAATGTAGAAATGAATATAAAATGAATGTAAATATAAATATAAAACTGAAAAAGTGAATAAATGTAAGTGAATAAATGTAATGTCTTAGCCAATCTTGCATTTTAATACATTATATGTTTATAATATATGTATAATTATCTATTCTGTATAATTATCTATATAATTATAATAATAAATGATCTATATAATTATAATAATGGATGAATAAATGGAAATATTATATTAATATTGCATTCTGTGTATTTCTCTCTCTCCCTCTCTTTTTCTTGGACAAAATTTTATGATATTTATGAATTTTGAAGAAATAGAAATATCAAAGATGAATTTTTTTTTTAAGAATAATACGAAATATTCTAATTTTAAAAATATGTATTTATGTACTATGCGTATAATATGCATACTAATACTTATATAAACTATGTCGAATATTACATTTTTCATTATGACAACACTTAAATTAAAATTTTACATAACGTAGACTTTTATTTGATAAATTTAATAAAATAATATTCGACAGCTAAAACCTTATAAATATTACTTAAAGTCACAAAAACATTTTTTATTAAGATGAAGATTATTAAAGCTAATCTCATAATCAGTATATGTATTAAAATTTGAAAATATGAAGATTTCTAAAATCACATAATTATTTTTGGTAATTCTTATTTTATAGATCTAATTATTATTGTAATAATTAGCAGAAAAAAACGAATAAAATGTACATATATCATAGAAAATAAATAATAATGATAAAAAAAGAGATCTAGATCTTTTTTGTTACATCTTATAATTTTGGATATATTTATTGTTATTTTATATTTGCTCCATAAAATATTAATTATATATAATAATATCACAACATACAATTACACGCTTGATTGAACACATTAAAATCTTATGTGTAAATATATTTTTACGAATTTTCTTATAAGTTTTCTTAATGCTAAATTAATTTTCCTGATATTAAATGATAACTAAAATATTATCGTTGAACGAAAAATATGGTCGAAATCTTTTTTACATTTAATTATAAGACTTAGAATTTTAATTTTTTAGATTCTTTCGTGTACACATAGAGAATATTTGCGGATTGCGGAAAGAGTGATAAAGTAAAAAACAAAACATATGAATATTAGAATTTATAATAATTTATGTAAACTAACTTTATATGTATACAAACAGACTGCATATGTTTATTAGTCGATTTTATGCAAATTGTTTCACCGATAAACACTGAGATATTTATATTTTATTCAGTGCTTGATGAATTCGTTGAAATTATGTAATATTTATCGCTCCTTAATCTCTGTATGTTGCGAGAGTATAAAAAATTATTAAAAATAATTAAAATGGCTCTTTTATGACAGATTTTAAAAATTTCAAATATCCCGTCAATCGAAATGTTTTTACGTTCAATTTTTATTTCTTCACGTTTAGATTCTAAGAGAATTTTGGTAATTTTTATTTTTTATTTTGATGATTTTTATTTTGATAATTTTTATTTTTATTTTTATTTTGATAATTTTTATTTATATAAGTATTGTATAAGAGTGTATTGCATTGAGTTCCTATTTTGTCTAATATAAATAGTAAAATTTGTCCATTTAGGAAAAAAACATTTTAAAAAAGAAATTTGCGTCCAAAATAACATAAAAACGCGTGTTTTGATTATCGTAAATTATATCAAAATATATTGCAAGTTTTAATTAACAATTGTGACTGCTATCGATCATATTAAAATTACTAAAGATATAGTATGCAATATTCATCATTTATTTTGATTATCAAAATAACCTTATACCAACGTAATATTATTTGGATTTTCCGCATTTATAAGTTTGAGTGCTCTCTCGTACACGAGTTTGGGCGCATCCTTGGCCCATACAAAATCCACGTGATTAAATTTGGGCAACGGTACTTCGTATATGTCCACTACATTCGGCAATATGCGGTAAAGCCTTTTGACATCCTTGAAAAAATTCTTTCGTGAATCATCGCGTGCGATTTCTTTCAAACTATTTTTCCGATTTTACGTTAAAGCTTGACTTATTCACAATTAAAGGGTTATGCTTAGTCATAATCGTGACTCAGGATGACAGGATAATAGAGTCTAAATAGGGTATATCCTAAATTTTAATTTGAAGCGCGATCGGAGGATCTTCAAATGATAGAACGTAATGATCGAAGTTTTGATCGGAATAATATTTTGATCGCAAGTCATAACTCACGTAGTCAAATTGCTCGCGGTCGAAACCGCAGACCGCAAATATGAAGTCGGCGCATAATTTTCGCTCTGCGAGATTCTGGTCGCAAGCGTATTTCACAAGAAATCTCAAGAAATTGCTCTGTGGCAGGAATTCGTCGTGAAAAAAAAGTCGCACTATCATCTGTAATCAAATATTTTCTAATTCGCAAATGTATAATTTATTTGTAATTTTTTCCTTCTCTTTAAATTTTTACATATTTTTGAGAATTAATAAGTAAATTTTTACGCGATTTTTTTTAATGGATTAGGATAGTTTGAAGAAGTCTTAAAAGTTGCTTCAATCTTAATTTAAACAGGATATTAATTTGAAAACATATTAGTTTTTCAAAATCAATTTTTTCGGAAATTTTAAAAAAAAAAGCTAAAAGAGAAAATGTTTCATTTTAATTATAAGGGATGAAATAAAAGATAAATCTTTTTTTAAATTTTGTGACAAGAGAAAGAATATCAAGGTGAATTAAAATGGAAAATAACGCCTTATTTAAACAGTTACAGTTTCTTATAATAGATAGTTTCAATAAAATTAAAATTTCGAAAATTATTGGGATTCCTTCATTTATACAAATATTCACTTCAAAGTCTAAAAATAGTTTAAAAATAATTTAAAAAATGGTACTGTTGCTTGTTTATATATATATATATATATATATATATATATATATATGTTTATATATATATATATATATATATATATATATATAATGGAAAAACGAGACATAAAAATGTGTCCTTTTTTGCTTCAATAAGGAGATATTGTTTTAAATATAATTATTTTTCAATAATAAATTATTTTCTTACAATATTGACTTATATATATTATCAGACCTTTATTTTTCTCCAGAAAGGTGCAATATAGTTTAATATCGGGCTTTTCACATTATTTATAAAGACTCCTGGGGCGAAATTGATCATCATTTTCACCATTTGAACCATTTCTGGACGTTCTGATGCCATTATAAAAACCAGTTGCGCTCATCGAATGACCAATGTACGCGTGCAATGGCTGAGATGTCATATTTGTGATAAATGTAATCATTGCAGGTAAATCATACATGCCCAATTCATGAAAGCTGATGGAAAATTCGTTTAATATATAATATCGTTATTAAAAAATATAGCAAATATATATAAATATATATCAGTCATTTTATAAGCCTGAAAAGAAATGAATATACAGGGAAATGTATGGAAATCTATATTTTTATTTTAGGAAATACATAATTGTTTCTAAGAAAAAATATGTAATTTGCAATTAACAATTACATATTTTTTTTTAAAAAACAACTACGTTTTTTCTTTACACCAATGGATTCCTTACATTATTTTGCATAAAAGTATTAAGATAAGATAATCAAAAAATGAATATTTTATCAGATATATTTTATGTATAATATAATTAAGACATGCTTTTAAGTCTCATAACTCGAAAAGTACTCAATGAAAATATACTTTATTATAATGTTTTGGAAAGCTCTCGAGATAAGCGATAGGAATATGTAATGAGAAATAGAAGGTTCCATTTAAGAAATTGTAGATGATTTTTATGTGACCTTGACAACATCCTTCAGGGTCATATTGATCTTGCTATGTAATTCGTTACTTGAAACCCTACAACTTTTGTCTGAAATAATTGTTTCTAAAATGCATAGTTTTCAAAAAATTTAGGGGTTTCCATACTTTTTTTCACCCTGTATATAAATATATAAGAATAAGCATATAAATCCCTCTACTTAAATTTAATGTCAACTTAACTCCGGCATCGTAACAACTTCATCATTTTCAAAGTATCATTATTTTTATCAAACTAACCTGAAATCCCAAAATTTTAAATCCGACGGAGATAAGAAAATATGCGTCCTCGAATAAGTATTACCACGATAATTGCCTAACCAAACATCGTATCCCTGATCCCCTAATTGATTAAGCTAAAATGCAAAAGAAGAAACATAGTTTGCAATATTTGTTGCATTTGTTTGTATCTATTATTACATAATTAATATCTTCTCACAAATTGCATAATCCTTTAATTACATATGTCCCAGCAAACCCCAAATAACAGTTATAGTTTTTCAAAATCAAATTTTTGTTATGTAACTGTTACATAACACGTAACATTTATATTGTTGAGTGGAAAATTATAACTAACAGTTATATAAATGTTATTTTGTGTTTACTGAGGTTAATATTAATTATTAATTATTTATAATAATTATTAATATTAATTTTTTTATTCACTTCGTTCGTGATTCTAATTTATATGTTAAAAAATGTTGAAAAATAAATAAATATATAGCGAATTCCAATTCAGAACGTACTCACTATTATTCGATAAGTTAAATAAACAATTTTAAATATATAATTTATATTATTGACACACACACATGTATAAAAAAATATGTGTCACAAATTTTAAAATCCTTTAATAAATAAAAAACATTAAAAATTATATTAAAAATTCATTAGAAAGATTTTTGGACACATTGTTTGCTATTTAAATTAGAGTCTTTTTTAAACGTCCTTCTAACAGAAGAGTAATCAGCAATAATATTTCGGGCTGTCTCTTAGGAATTAAATAAAGAACGAAGAATGTACCGAGTGCTTTGTCCTTGCCAAGGAGGACCCAATCGGCGGAGGTGCATAAGAAAGCATGCAGCATCAGTACGGGTCGAGAATTGTTGCCACCTGGGATACGATGTCACGACAAGAGATAGCCATCCTCCGTCGTTATAACATGAGCTTCTGCGGGATAACCCGCTCTCCGTTATCATTCCCAACTAGAAGAATCAACGAAAGAAAGCATTCTCAAAATTAATGTAAAGTTGCGGTAAATTTATGTGATAAGATATAAAGTATAGTATTTATTTTCTGAATAACAGGGCGTCTTCACAATAAATATGCAGAACTCATTAATTTTTGCATCAGGCATCGTATCTAATTAATATGAAGAGTAATCGTTAAAAAATTAATAAAAATATAATTAATTCAATAGAAAAATTAATTATTTAATTTAAGGTGTATATTTCTGGAGACTGTAAAACGGGGGGGAATTCTTTCGAATGACGTAATAAATAATATGAGGGACTACTCATAAAATTATTATAATATAGTAAAAAATAAAATGTAAAACTTTTCGTTAAATTTATTTTTTACATTAAACATTGTAATGTTTAAACATAACATGCACAATAAAAAATTTTGTGTTAAATTTATCATATTTCACATGTCCCAATTTATCCACTCTAATTTTAATGTTAATTTAACAAAAGACAAATATGTAAATATATAACACAAGTAATATGTTTAAAAATTAACACAAAAGTGTAACACTTAAACTTTATCTGGAAATAAAGTTTATGTTAAATTAACATATTTATAATGTTAAATTTAATTAAAAAAAAATGTTATTTTTACATTTTTACATTTTTATAATAAATAACAGAAGAGAAATGTTGATTTAACATATGGAAACTGTTATAGAGAGAAAAATAACACAATTTATCTGTTCATTTTAACATATAACATATTTCGTCAAAAATTCATGCATTTACATATTAATTGTGTTGTTTTAACTCTTAGAAGTGATGAATATTAACTCAACGCAGAAATGTCAAAATAACGCAACGATAATATGTTACATTAACATAAGAGTATGTTAAAAATTTAACACAAAAATTTTTACATGAGAAAATTTTAACAGAAATACAAAATGTTTTTTACCATGTTCAAGAATATTCTCTCGGATAAACCAAATTAAAGAAAACTGCAGAGTGACAGTAGACCTATGACCACTGTCAACCTCATTGTGAGGACGAACGATTTAAAGAGTTGTGATAAAAATGAATTTTCGAAGTATCGGAATATATATTAACGGAGCAGAGAACGGAAGAGCGAGACGAATATGACTGCGCGCGACTGTCGTTTGCGCGCAAGAAAAATATAATTATATGCAATATTGTTTTTTTTTTTGTTAGAATGGAAGGATATCGAATGAAACATCGTCAATATCTCGTTTATTATTGTAAGAACGTTCTCATTTACTATTGGAAGACATGAATCTTGAGAGTTACTTTTTATATTCGTGACGTCACGTATTTGTGATTTCGATTCAATACAGAAACTCGGATGAAGTTTGTCTGGTGCTTCTCGCAAGTAATTGATTATCGATGCTTGAGAGAAGGTCACAAGTCTATACTTCGATTTAATATTGACAGTATTTTTTTTTAAATAAAGTACATAAATATTCAAGCGAGAAGAAACATCTCTGACCATGAATGCGCTTATTAATAAATAATCTTTGAATTTATCAAGAAGAATCGAGAAAAATCGTATATCATTGAAATATAATTTGACTTAAAAAGAGATTGACATTTATAAAAATATTCTTTAACTTCTCCTGTAACTTTCTTCATATTTTCTATTTAATTTATTTGGATTAATTTATAATAATATTAATTTATTTTGATAAATTTATAATTATAACAATATTTTTATTATTAATCTTCTTGATATTAAATTGCGATTTATAAACATACTTTTGATAGATAATATAATTAATATATTATATTATTGTAGAAATAAAATAATGAAACATAATATTATAAATAAGAAGAGACTGTGTATTTTTATACGAAATTCTTATGGAAATTTGTCACTTTTATGTTTATGTTTTATAAATATAATTTTTAAATATAATATAATTTTTAAATATAAACTTTAAATATAATTTTTTATAAATATAATTTTATAAATGTCACTTTTAAAAATAGTTAGAATAAGGTTTAAACTTTTCACTGATTTAATTAATATTTTGAATCTCTAGATGAATTTCACATGAGTAATCATTCCGCTTTTTATCCATATCCAGTCTCAACTAATCTCCACTCAAAATACAACTATTAAATCGTTCAAATCTCATAAAACTTCAATTTGAATATATCACTTGATCGGCTTTTGAGATAAGATTTTTTATAATGATCATTGATTAAAAGATATTAAGAAAAAATATTCATATATAAAATACAGAGATTAAATTAAAGTAAAAATAAACATAATAAACAAACGTAACATATGTGGGCTATAATAGTATCCTTAATTAACGAATTAATTAAGTTATTTGTATTAGAAATTTATTAGTTTCTTATCTCGCGCGAAGATAAGCATTTCTGTGCTATATCTCACTTATTTTATTAATGTATCAATTTTTAAAAATTTTTGCGATAACTCAAATATATATCAAAAAATGAAAAAGGCCATATTTTATTTCAAATTAAAATTTATTTTCTTTTCATAAAAATATCTTTTAAAATTGTTTTAATAATTTCTTCGGTTAAGAGAAGCTCGATGGAAAAAATTTTCTTAATAGAATATATTTTGTTAGAGAAAAATAAACATTAATTTTATTGATGAATAATTTACTGAAAGTAACAATTTTTTCCACAAACCTCATATCCTGTATTTATAATTAGAAAATATAACATTTAATTAATCGAAAAATTTGCTTTTAAAATAAACAAAATAATATAATACATATTTTTTCTTGAAAACAACCTTTTGAACACATTTACGTGTTAAAATATGTACAATATTTGGACAACGAATGGATAATAACACTATGTTCAACCTTGGCGATGTATGACGCGTTAATGTTTATACAAGTCACGGCCTTGCGTTCATAATTTGCATGACACTTGAGCAATAAGATGCGAAGTGATGCGAAATACTTCATATATTAAATTCAAATTAATGATTAATTGAACGACTGCTTTCGTGACTTTCAATTACATTAATCTTTCGATCTTATAATTTGTAAAAAGAAAATAAGAACAAACAGTCCGGACCAACCAATCAAAATATAATAAAAAGGAAGGCTGAGGACGTGACGTGGGATGTTAAAACGTAATGAGAAATGAAAAAAATAAATCTAAGACAGAAAAATGATATAATTTGTTAAACAATTTACCTATAGTATTCATTCGAATGATGTAAGCTTTACTGGTCAAATCGAATGCCTTATCACTCAAAATTAAAATTGTAGACAATCTAGAAACTCGATCGCAGCTCACTTTTAAATGAATGATAACATCAAATTAGTAAATAATAATATTTAATAAACATATTTAATGAATATTACGTACATTCAACCAAAACGGGAATTAATGTTGTTCCACAAAAGTTTGTGTTTCATTGGAACGTACATTTAGTACATTTAGTTTTATCGCTATTATCGAACCTTTATCATCTTTTTATCAAAGACTATGTGCTTTATGACATGAGCGTTTACTTACTCTTTCCTCACCATCAATATTAATAAACATAAAAACAATCCAATAAGTTCATTAATTAGTCACATCTCATTTTGGTCCAAGGAGCACTGTCAGCTTGACAAATTTCGTTCTTTGCTTTTTGCACAGATTGATATCATTTATTTCGATCCTAAAGATGATAAACTTAATAATAATTTATTGAAACATGATTAATGTAATTTACTCTAATTTATACCTTCCGCACGTATATTAAATTTGATTAATTGATAGAACCTCGATATGTTTTTAATATGTCACAATCGTACATATAGCCGCCATTGCATGTCGATAAGCGAGATCTCTAGTAATTGAAACAGAAATTTGTCAGAAATTTCGGAAACGTGTTTCGCTTTCTCATGATGGCGTTGATCGTCGCGGAAACCACAGAATAAATTCAAATATGTGTACATTATATTGTACGTGTGCGTTACATATAGATATAATAAATATTGAATTTATAAAGATCGATCTACAACAAATACACATGCGTTGCAAAACACTTATGCGTTTAACAAATATATGATTTAGTGATAAAAAACATTATAATTTTTTTTATCTTATGTAAATGTGTATATCGTATTATATGTTATCTTATATGTTGAGAGAACAGAAGCAGAAGAAGACAGCACGCTTTGAAAGAGACTTTAAAATAAAATGTCTTTCAAAAAAATGAGATTGTAATATTACTGCTGGATACGGTCAAATCATTTAATATTTATGGTATGTATAGATGTAGATTATAATTATGTCAGTTTATTTCCTTTGACACAAAATCGTCATTTGTTAAAGTATTTTTTAATTTGTGTTTTTGTAGAAACGTTTTTAAGTAACTTGACAAAAAAACTGTAGATTCATTCTCATACTTCTATAATTTCTGAAAATAAAGGGCTACAAAAAGAAGATTATATATAAAATACGAATTACTCATTACAACAATTTTTGATACTTTAAGATTTTTTTTCTTTATAAATAATTTTTAGTGAGGATGACTGCAAAATCGAAAATATTAGGCTGAATAAAATGAACAAAGAATTTGGTAAAAAAAAATTAACCACCTAAAAAATCACGTGTGTATATATGAAAAGATAACATTTTTCAGTGGATTTATGTTTATTATTTCCATTTTTTCTTTTTTTTTTATAATCTCATACTAATTTTTTATTTTTTACCAAAGAATCTCTATTCCAATCGTTAATGTGAATATAAATTTGGATCGCTCAGATGCTTTGGACGTATTCATAAATAATAGTAAATACAAAGACAAAGTTCTACCAGATAATATATAGTATATTTTAAAATAGATATACTTATAGAAGTATAGTCTTAGTATAATAAGATATAACTTATAGAAGATGTTTCACGTAATAATATTAGACACTCTATATAATATTAATTAAAATATATATATATTTATAAATTACAGATCTAAAAATACTTAAATAAAAAGTGGATGATATGGATTCCACATTAAGTGGAGTATATAATCCAGTATAGTATATAATCCAGTATAGTATATAATCCATAATCAATTGACAGACGTTGTGATGATGCTCCAACAAAACAATAATTTACAAGCAAAAAGAATGACAGAACTTATTGCTGTCATATAGTAAAATATAATTCAACTTTACCATATGTTAAATATTGAAACAATTAAAAGCTCTCAATAAAACATGACAAATAATGAAAGATGCCAGGAATAGTTTGTAAGCAAACATTGTTTAACAAACTCGAACGGATTGTGCAAACAAATTTTCCATGTATAATTTCATTTTCAGAGTTATCTTCTGCAACTTTTGGTGTTGATCAGACGGGAGAATCCGGAAAATCAATTACGCGAATGGTTAAACAATATTTAAGTAGAGATTTAGCCATGAAGCTTACTGCATAAAAACAAGTTCCTGAAAAAACCTTAATAAAAGGATTGCTGTTTTGTTTCATTTTAATATTATATATATGTTAAAAGTACAAAAAATAAATATAATTCATACATTCAAAATTGTATGTCTTTAAAAAAATTATTTCGCAATTTATTATCGTTTCGTGATTCAAAGCCCGATCGAATCTAGTCAAGAACCCGGTCAGGTTCAAGCACAGAAGCACAATCAGGCCCCGGCCAAAAACACCGATCAGGTTCCTAATTAGGAACCGCAGTCGGGGCCCGACTGGGCTCTCCAGTTAGGAACCCAACTTGGCAAATCATTACATCCCTGGCCGGGTCCACACCGGGCTTGTTGGCTAGGGCCCGATTTCAAATCGGGAAAAGCAGCCAGGAACCCGGTCAGGGCCCGATTTCAATTTCTACCAGGGAAATAGAATAATATAATATGTTTTCTTATAGAGATCTATTATTAATAAATATGTTTCCTTATAGAGATCTATTATTTCCTTCACAAAATTTCGTATGATTGCATTTTCCTCAAATTTACATAATACAGGAAGGAAATGTACATATAGTATAGATTTGTAAGTTTTGTATTGTATCTTGAGTAAAAATATTCATGATATATTATCTCTAATTTAACATAACAAGTTGTTTATAGCAAAACTTATAAAATTAATGAATATTAACATACATATTTCAAGATTATGTATATTATTTAATAGATTAAACTATTTCTTTAAAATTCAAAAATTTATATGCATTCTTACATTAAAATATATATTTTAAATATATTTTAAAAAATTTTTTTAAAATAATTCTATAAATTATTATAATTTAAAAATTAATATTAATTTTTTTAAATATATTTAAATTTTATAACAATTACTCTTTATATTAATTAGATATACATATATGCATAATGCAAAATTATTCTCTGCATATTTAATAGAGAAACAAATTCTATTATTTAGAAAATAAATAGTATACCTTATCGCACAAAATTCAGCTTTAGATTAATGATACGAGTGCCCTTTTTATCGATTCTTCTTTCAGCTGGAAATGATAAAAAAAGCGGGTTATCACGCAGAGGCTCGTGTTGCAACGACAGATGACAGTTATGTCGTGTATTGCGCAGTATTTGACGTTATATCGAATCCCAGGTGCAAACGATTCTCTACCTGTGCTACTGCAACACGGTCTGTTATGCAGCTTCGTTGACTGGATCTTTCTTAGCAAAGGCAAAGCACTCGGTAAAATCCTTTATATAATTATCCTTAGCAGATATTCCGAAATCATATCCTTAATATTCTATCAGAAACATGTCTAGAAAAATGCCTAGAAAAATTATAAAATTTAAATAGCAAATAATTTTATTTTAATTGTAATGCAATTTTTAATACATCTTACTTTTTGAACATTGTTAAAATTTATTATGTGTTTATTATACATATTTTTACATATATATTTATTTCATAATTATATATATCATATATTTAGAACTGTTTATTTAATTAATTTAATTAAATAATAATTCATGGATTATAAATCAGAACATTCACAATCTTTATCTATTATTATTATTAAAGAATATTAGGTAAATATTAAGCAAAGATATTGCAAGGATATTATATGAAAAGGTCTAAGTTTGTCATAAATGTTGCAAACAATTTCCTCGGGATTTTAGCTTATTTATTAGCGGATCAGGGATACGATGTTTGGTTGGGCAATTTTCGTGGTAATACCTACTCGAGGGCGCATATTTCCCTATCTCCTTCGAACTTGACATTCTGGGATTTCAGGTACTATAAAATAAAAATAATATGATATATAAAAATAATATATTTATAATAAAAATGCTTATATTATATAAGCATTTTTGATAAGTATTTATTATTTTTACTTATTTAAATATAATTATATCCGGAAATGTCACGTTTGCCTATTATAAACAGTATAAAAGTTGTATTAGATGCAGTTTTTTTAGTAAGATGATTTTTTAGGCCATTAGATTTGCAGAAAATTACGTTATCTTTGTGGAAAATGAGAGAAATAAAAACATTAGAATAATGTAACAAACTTAATTTAATTTTCAGTAATCAATATAAAGTAATCAATATAAGAGAAAAAGAAACAAAGATATATATCGTAATTTTAATTATATTTAGGCAGAGAAATATCTAATCCTTTCATCAAAGGATCAATAGAAATATAAGAAAAATGATATTGTTGATAATTTGACGCGCAAAATTTGAAAATAAGCAAGATCGGTGCATTTTATGATGAAAAGTTACTTAGAATTTCAAGCATCTATTGTGATTTAAAAACGCAAATCTAATGATATTAAAATTTGTCACAAATGTCCTTTTGATATTTATAACTTCTCGTTGAAAAACGTGACATTTCTGATCGTTAAAGTCTTAAAAATGAGTCTTAAAAATATTTATATCACTTTTTATTAATTCTAAAACGTTATCAGTATCATGTTTCCAAATAAATGTTTTTTAATATGATCATAAACATATTTATTACATTTTGTGATGTCAATTGAATTTTCAATTGATTAGCTTCAATGAAATGGGTATCTATGATTTACCCGAGATGTTCACATATATCACGAATATTACATCTCAATCATTGCACACATACATCGGTCATTCTATGGGTACAGCTAGTTTTTACATAATGGCATCAGAGCGTCCGGAATTCGCACGAATGGTGCAAAAGATGATCAGCTTTGCACCAGCAGTTTTTATAAGCCATATGAAAAGTCCGATAAAATACTTCTCTAAAACATTCCCCTTGGAATTATATAAGGTAAAGTAATTTAATCTTCAATTATAATTTTAACGAGATGTTCTTCAACGAATTAAAATTAAAATCCAAGCAACTCTCAAAACTTCTGTAAATCATTCCATAAATAATTCTAAGCTAATTTAATTAATTTTTTTAATAGCTTGGAATTATTTATGGAATAATTTATGGAATAATTTACAGAAGTTATATAAATAAATAAATAAATTTTTAATAGAAAATTTATTTATTTACTATGTTTATTAAAAATTAATTAATTTATTTATTTACTAAATCCCCAAAATATCGCAAAAGTTGGAAAAAGAAAGAATAATAAATAAATTATACATTACAAGTAAAAAAATATTTTCCTACAGCTGATCATGCGACATTTTTTCCACAACGAATTCCTGCCACAGAACAATTTTTGGAAGTATCTCGCGAAATACGGTTGCGAACAGAATATTATTGAGGAAAAGATCTGCGCCAACCTAATATTCATAATCTGCGGTTACGATCGCGAGGAATTGAACTACGTGAGTAGATTCGCGATCGAAATAAAATGTCGATTATTACGAAATTTTCATCGTTTGAAGATCGTCCGATCATGCTTTAGATTGAATTTTAGCGCATGTCCTTATTTAAACTCTACTACCTATCATCCTAAGTTACGATCCGGCTGGAGCCTCGACCAAGACAATTCTGCATTATATCCAGATATACCAAACCGGCAAATTTCGCAAATACGACTACGGTCTCGATAAAAATCTGTTGGTGTACAACTCATCGGAACCTCCGGATTACAATCTGGAAAATATTACGGTCCCTATCGCGTTGTTCTACGGTCTTGATGATTGGCTGGTTGATTCCGTGGTGAGTAACGAAGCAACGCGTATTCAAATAAAATATGTAGCGAAGATTAATTCACGTTAATTCTGCATAAGTCAAGTTTTAACGTCAAATCGAGAGGATAGCTTGAAAGAAATTGCCCGTGATGATTCACGAAAGGATTTTTTTAATAATGTGAGGAGGCTGTACCACATATTGCCCAATGTAATAGACACGTACGAAGTGCCGTGGCCCGAATTTATTCATGTGAATTTTATGTTGACCAAGAATGCGGCCAAACTCGTATACGAGAGAGTGTTCAAGCTTATGAAGGGGTAAACTGTGAATAATATTATATCGATGAGATAATATTACATCGTTAATTAAATTATGTAAATGATGAATATTGCACTAAAATTGAGTTGAAATTCCACAACTGTCAACTCAACTGTTAACTTAATGGAACGTAAACTGATAATATTCTTGTATTATTTATAATTACTGTAAAAGCGAATTAGATTCACGCTCGCGTTTTTAACAATCCTTGTTCCTTCTAATCATTGCGATGGATTGCAAAGATAGCTGCAATGTGAAAATCAATATAAATGTCAATTTGCAGATATAAATAATTGCAAAAATAAATAGAAAATAAATATAAATATTTGTAAAAATAAATATAAGATAAATATAAAATAAATATAAAATAAATATAAAATAAATATTGTAAATATAAATTTATATTCACATTTATATTCACAATTTATATTCATATTTATATTCACAATGTAGAAATAAATATAAAATGAATGTAAATATAAATATAAAAGTGAAAAAGTGAATAAATGTAAGTGAATAAATGTAATGTAATCTTAGTCGATCTTGCATTTTAATACATTATATGCTTATAATATATGTATAATTATCTATTCTGTATAATTATCTATATAATTATAATAATAAATGATCTATATAATTATAATAATAAATGGAATTTATATTAATATTATATTTATTATATTAATATTGCATTCTGTGTATTTTCTTTCTTTCTCTTTTTCTTTCTCTGCATTCTGTATATTAATTTTCTTTCTTTCTCTTTTTCTTGGACAAAATTTTATGATATTTATGAATTTTGAAAAAATAGAAATATTAAAAATGAATCTTTTTTTTTTTAAAATAATACGAAATATTCTAATTTTAAAAATGTGTATTTATGTAATATGTGTATAATATGCATACTAATACTTATATAAATTATATCGAATATTACATTTTTCATTGTGACAATTTAAACTCAACTTTTGCTTAACGTAGACTTTTATTTGATAATAAAATTAATAAAATAATATTCGACAGCTAAAACCTTATAAATATTACTTAAAGTCACAAAAACACATTTTTTATTAAAATGAAGATTATTAAAGCTAATCTCATAATCAGTATATGTATTAAAATTTGAAAAAAATGAAGATTTCTAAAATCACATAATTATTTTTGGTAATTCTTATTTTATAGATTTAATTATTATTGTAATAATTAGCAGAAAAAAACGAATAACATGTACATATATCATAGAAAATAAATAATAATGATAAAAAAAAGAGATCCTGATCTTTTTTGTTACATCTTATAATTTTGGATATATTTATTGCTATTTTATATTTGCTCCATAAAATATTAATTATATATAATATTATCACAGCAATTACACGCATGATTGAACACATTAAAATCTTACGTGTAAATATAATATATCTTTACGAATTTTCTTATTAGTTTTCTTAATGCTAAATTAATTAAAATCCTGATATTAAATGATAACTAAAATATTATCGTTGAACGGAAAATATGGTCGAAATTTTTTTTACATTTAATTAAAAGACTTAGCATTTTAATTTTTTTAGATTCTTTCGCGTACACATAGAGAATATTTGCGGATTGCGGAAAGAGTGATAAAGTAAAAAACAAAACATATGAATATTAGAATTTATAATAATTTATGTAAAGTAACTTTATATATATATATATATATATATATATATATATATATAAACAGACTGCATATATTAGTCGATTTTATGCAAATTGTTGCACCGATAAACACTGAGATATTTATGTTGTATTCAGTGCTTGATGAATTCGTTGAAATTATGTAATATTTATCGCATTCATCGCTCCTTAATCTCTGTATATTGCGAGAGTATAAAAAATGATTAAAAATAATTAAAATGGCTCCTTTATGACAGTATTTTTAAAAATTTCAAATATTCCGTCAATCGAAATGTTTTTACGTTCAATTTTATTTCTTCATATTTAGATTCTGAGAGAATTTTGGAAATTTTAATTTTTTATTTTGATAATTTTTATTTGCATAATTTTTATTTTAATTTTTATTTTCATAATTTTTATTTTAAATAGAGAATTTTGATAATATTTATTTATATAAGTATTGTATAAGAGTGTATTGTATTGTATTGAGTTCCTATTTTGTGTCTTATATGGATAGTAAAATTTGTCCATTTAGGAAAAAAAAACATTTTAAAAAAGGAATTTTCGTCAAAAATAACATAAAAATGCGTGTTTTGATGCTCGAAAATTATATCAAAATATATTGCAAGTTTTAATTAACAATTGTGACTGCTATCAATCATATCAAAATTACTAAAGATATAGTATGCAATATTCATCATTTATTTTGATTATCAAAATAACATTATACCAACGTAATATTATTTGGATTTTCCGCATTTATAAGTTTGAGTACTCTCTCGTACACGAGTTTAGGCGCATCCTTGGCCCATACAAAATCCACGTGATTAAATTTGGGCCACGGTACTTCGTATATGTCCACTACATTCGGCAATATGCGGTAAAGCCTCTTGACATCCTTGAAAAAATTCTTTCGTGAATCATCGCGTGCGATTTCTTTCAAACTATTTTCACGATTTTACGTTAAAGCTTGACTTGTTCACAATTAAGGGGTTATGCTTAGTCATAAAAAAGTAAAAAAAAACCGATTTTTATGTTTTTACACTTTCTTCAAGTATATTATATTGAAAATATTTCCTAAAAGTTTCAAATTAATCGGATGCAAATTGATGGAGTTATAAATGTATGTTTTATGAAGCGCTAGGATGTATAACTTTATTTAAACACGATTATAAAGCTAAAGCTCTGATGTTTTGAGGGCTATCAAATAAATAAAGATATATAAAGATATATACAAATTTAAATAAACTAAAATATATAAAGATTTAAATAAACTAAAATTACATGGGCCCGGAATAGATGATTCTGGGTAAATTAAAAAATCTGCATTTTATTTAAAAGTAAACTCGACATAAATCTTAAACGCATTTTTCTCGAAATCACTTTTTCAAAATCGGTGAGCAAGATATTTCGAAAACCATTACACCGATTTGCTTGAAATTTTGTATGCTTCTTCTACATATATAAAAACCTAGTAGTGAACGAAGGATTTTTTAATGAATATTTTTTTTACTTAATAAAAAATGAACAATTTTTAAGTCGAAAAAGAATATCTTAGAATCAAATAGCCATTTTGTCCCGAAATAATTTTTCGATTAATTCTTTGTTTATCTACCTGGACAGTTTTACATCAACTAGAGTTTATCGAATTTTTGATATCAAATGAATCAACTCCGAATAACATTGCTCACCGCGTAGTGCTTTTTAAAAAACAATATCCGAGAGAATAGTTATAACTTTTATGTTTTTTAATATTTTGTTTAAAAAAATATATAATAACATCCTTAATATTTGTACTTTTGAATAGAAACTTATTTGTGAAAGAAAAAATTATTATATTTTTCAAAAAAAATTCCCATCATCATACTTTTTTCGGTCTGCTGACTAGACATAACCCTTTAAGGCGAATTAATCTTCGCTACGTATTTTATTTGAATATGCATTGCTTCGTTACTCACCACGGTATCAATCAGCCAGTCACCAGTTGCGTAGAACAACGCGATCGGGATCGTAATATTTGCCAGATTGTAATCCGGAGGTTCCGGCGAGTTGTATATCAATAAATTTTTCACGCGACCATAATCGTATTTGCGAAATTTGCCAGATTGTGTTCCTTGAAGGTAGTGTTCAGCCGTCTTAGACGAGGAGCCGGCCGGATCGTGACTCAGGATGACAGGTAATAGAGTCTAAATAAGGTATATCCTGAAGTTTAGTTTGAAGCGCGATCGGAGAATCTTCAAATGATAGAACGTAATGATCGAAGTTTTGATCGGAATAATATTTTGATCGCAAGTCATAACTCACGTAGTCAAATTGCTCGCGGTCGAAACCGCAGACCGCAAATATAAAGTCGGCGCATAATTTTCGCTCTGCGAGGTTCTGGTCGCAAGCGTATTTCGCAAGAAATCTCAAGAAATCGCTCTGTGGCAGGAATTCGTCGTGGAAAAAAAGTCGCACTATCATCTGTAATCAAATATTTTCTAATTCGCAATGTATAATTTATTTGTAATTTTTTTCTTCTCTTCAAATTTGTAGATATTTTTGAGGATTAATAAATAAATTTTTACGCGATTTTTTTAATGGATTAGGATAGTTTGAAGAAGTCTTAAAAGTTACTTCAATCTTAATTTAAACAGGATATATATTAATTTGAAAACATATTAGTTTTTCAAAATCAATTTTTTCGAAAATTTTAAAAAGAAGCTAAAAGAGAAAATTTTTGCATTTTATTTATAAGGGATAAAATAAGAAATAAATCTTTCTTTAAATTTTATGACAAGAGAAAGAATATCAAGGTGGATTAAAATGGAAAATAACGCCTTGTTTAAACAGTTACAGTTTCTTATAATAGATAATTTCAATAAAATTAAAATTTCGAAAATTATTGGGATTCTTTCATTTATACAAATATTCACTTCAAAGTCTAAAAATAGATTAAAAATAGCATTAAAAATGATACTGTTGCGTGTTTATATATGTATAATGGAAAAACGAGACATAAAATGTGTCCTTTTTGTTTCAATAAAGAGATATTGTTTTAAATATAATTATTTCTCAATAATAAATTATTTTTTAACAGTATTGACTTATATATATTATCAGACCTTTATTTCCTTCCAGAAAGGTGCAATATAGTTTAATATCGGGCTTTTCACATTATTTACAAAGACTCCTGGGGCGAAATTGATCATCATTTTCACCATTTGAACCATTTCTGGACGTTCTGATGCCATTATATAAAAACCAGTTGTGCCCATCGAATGACCAATGTACGCGTGCAATGGCTGAGATGTCATATTTGTAATAAATGTAATCATTGCAGGTAAATCATAAATGCCCATTTCGTGAAAGCTGATGGAATATTCGATTAATATATAATATCGTTATAAAAAAATATAGCAAATATATATAAATATGTATCAGTCATTTTATAAACCTGAAAAGAAATGTATATACAGGGTGAAGGAAATGTATGGAAATCTATATTTTTATTTTAGGAAATACATAATTGTATCTAACAAAAAATATGTAATTTGCAATTAACAATTACATATTTTTTTTAAAAAACAACTACGTTTTTTCTTTACACCAATGGATTCCTCACATTACTTTGCATAAAAATATTAAGATAAGATAATCAAAAAATGAATATTTTATCAGATATATTTTGTGTATAATAAAATTAAGACATGCTTTTAAGTCTCATAACTCGAAAAATACTCAATGAAAATATACTTTATTATAATGTTTTGGAAAGCTCTCAAGATAAACCATAGGAATATGTAATGAGAAATAGGGAGTTTCATTTAAGTAATTGTAGATAATCTTCATGTGATCTTGACAACATCCTTCAGGGTCATATTGATCTTACTATGTAATTCGTTACTTGAAACCCTACAACTTTTGTCTGAAATAATTGTTTCTAAAATGCATAGTTTTCGAAAAATTTAGGGGTTTCCATACTTTTTTTCACCTTGTATATAAATATATAAGAATAAGCATATAAATCCCTCTACTTAAATTTAATGTCAACTTAACTTCGATATCGTAACAACTTCATCATTTTCAAAGTCATTATTTTTTATGGCGGCTATGAAACTAACCTGAAATCCCAAAATTTTAAATCCGACGGAGATAGGAAAATATGCGCCCTCGAATAAGTATTACCACGATAATTGCCTAACCAAACATCGTATCCCTGATCCGCTAATTGATAAGCTAGAATGCAAGAAGAAGAAACATATTTATAATTTACAATACTTGTTGCATTTGTTTGTATCTATTATTACATAATTAATATCTTCTCAGAAATTGCATAATTCTTTAATTACATATGTCCCAGCAAACCCCAAATAACAGTTATAGTTTTTCAAAATCAAATTTTTGTTATGTAACTGTTACATAATACGTAACATTTATATTGTTGAGTGGAAAATTATAACTAAAAGTTATATAAATGTTATTTTGTGTTTACTGAGGTTAATATTAATTATTAATTATTTATAATAATTATTAATATTAATTATTTTAATCACTTTGATCGTGATTCTAATTTATATGTTAAAAAATGTTGAAAAATAAATAAATATATAGCGAATTCCAATTCAGACCATACTCACTATTATTCGATAAGTTAAATAAACAATTTTAAATATATAATTTATATTATTGACACACACACATGTATAAAAAAAATATGTGTCACAAATTTTAAAATCTTTTAATAAATAAAAAACGTTAAAAATTATATTAAAAATTCATTAGAAAGATTTTTGGACACATTGTTTGCTATTTAAATTAGAGTCTTTTTTAAACGTCCTTCTAACAGAAGAATAATCAGCAATAATATTTCGGGCTGTCTCTTAGGAATTAAATAAAGAACGAAGAATGTACCGAGTGCTTTGTCCTTGCCAAGGAGGACCCAATCGGCGGAGGTGCATAAAAAAGCATGCAGCATCAGTACGGGTCGAGAATTGTTGCCACCTGGGATACGATGTAACGATAAGAGATAGCCATCCTCCGTCGTTATAACATGAGCTTCCGCGGGATAACCCGCTCTCCTTATCATTCCCAGCTAGAAGGGTCAACGAAAGAAAGCATTCTCAAAATTAATGTAAAGTTACGGTAAATTTATGTGATAAGATATAAAGTATAGTATTTATTTTCTGAATAACAGGGCGTCTCCACAATAAATATGCAGAACTCATTAATTTTGCATCAGGCATCGTATCTAATTAATATGAAGAGTAATCGTTAAAAAATTAGTAGAAATAATAATTAATTCAATAGAAAAATTAATTATTTAATTTAAGGTGTCGGAATATTTTTGGAGACTATAAAACGGGGGAGGGGGATTCTTTTGAATGACGTAATAAATAATATGACAGACTACTCATAAAATTATTATAATATAGTAAAAAATAAAATGTGAAAACCTTTCGTTAAATTTATTTTTTACATTAAACATTGTAATATTTAAACATAACATATGTTGAAGATTGTTATTTTCTCGGGTAAATTAAATAAAATAAAAGCGAAATAAATCTAATCTAATTGTGCCAGGAAAAATTATTTAATAAAAATAAAATAAAATTAGCTCGAATAATAATATAATCAAAAAGTTAATTAAAAAGAGTATTTATTTACCGTGTCGAGATTGACATCGGGGTTGGAATTAGTGTCGTTCAACTGTTGCCAGCTCATCCATGATAACAAGCTTGGCTCGAATGTTACGTTTGCAGGAGCCGCACCAGGAAAACTGCAGAGTGTCAGTAGACCCATGATCACTGTCAATTTCATTGTGTGGACGAACGATTTAAAGAGCTGCGAAAAAAATGAATTTTTCGAAGTATCGGAATATATATTAACGGAGAGGAGCAGGAACGGAAGAGCGAGATGAATATGACTGCGCGCGACTGCCGTTTGCGCGCAAGAGAAATATAATTATATGCAATATTGTTTTTTTCTTTTGTTAGAATGGAAGGATATCGAATGAAACATCGTCAATATCTCGTTTATTATTGGAGGAGCGTTCTCGTTTACTATTGGAAGACATGAATCTTGAGAGTTACTTTTTATATTCGTGACGTCACGTATTTGTGATTTCGATTCAATGAAACAGAAACTCGGATGAAGTTTGTCTGGTGCTTTTCGCAAGTAATTGATTCTCGATGCTTGAGAGAAGGTCACAGGTCTATACTTCGATTTAATATTGACAGTATCTTTTTTAAAATAAAGTACATAAATATTCAAGCAAGAAGAGATATTTCTGACCATGAATGCGCTTATTAATAATCTTTGAATTTATCAAGAAGAATCGAGAAAAATCGTATATCATTGAAATATAATTTGACTTAAAAAGAGATTGACATTTATAAAAATATTCTTTAACTTCTCCTGTAACTTTCTTCATATTTTCCATTTAATTTATTTGAATTAATTTATAATAATATTAATTTATTTTAATAAATTTATAATTATAACAATATTTTTATTATTAATCTTCTTGATATTAAATTGCGATTTATAAACATACTTTTGATAGATAATATAATTAATATATTATATTATTGTAGAAATAAAATAATGAAAGATAATATTATAAATGAGAAGAGACTGTGTATTTTTATACGAAATTCTTGTGGAAATATGTCACTTTTATGTTTATGTTTTATAAATATAATTTTTATAAATATAATTTTTTATAAATATAATTTTATAAATGTCACTTTTAAAAATAGTTAGAATAAGGTTTAAACTTTTCACTGCTTCAATCAATATTTTGAATCTCAAGATGAATTTCACGTGAGTAATCATTCCGCTTTTTATCCGTATCTAGTCTCAACTAATCTCTACTCAAAATACAACTATTAAACCGTTCAAATCTCATAAAACTTCAATTTGAATATATCACTTGATTGGCTTTTGAGATAAGATTTTTTATAATGATCATTGATTAAAAGATATTAAGAAAAAATATTCATGTATAAAATACATAGAGATTAAATTAAAGTAAAAATAAACATAATAAACAAACGTAACATATGTGGTCTACAGTAGTATCCTTAATTAACGAATGAATTAAGTTATTTGTATTACAAATTTATTAGGAATTTCTTATCTCGCGCGAAGATGAGCATTTCTGTGCTATATCTCACTTATTTGATTGATGTATCAATTTTTGAAAATTTCTGCGATAACTGAAATACATATTAAAAAATGAAAAAGGCCATATTTTATTTAAATCAAATTGAAATTTATTTTCTTTTCATAAAAATATCTTTTAAAATTGTTTTAATAATTTCTTCTGTTAAGAAAAATAAAGCTCGATGAAAAAAATTTTCTTAATAGAATATATTTTGTTGAAAATAAACATTAATTTTATTGATGAATAATTTACTGAAAGTAACAATTTTTTCCACAAACCTCGTATCCTGTATTTATAATTTAGAAAATATAACATTTAATTAATCGAAAAATTTGTTTTTAAAATAAACAAAATAATAGAAAATTATAGAAAACATTTAAAATAATAGAAAACATTTTATTCAATATCGATAATTAAAAATCTTACGTTCCATTGAAGCTTCAAATTTTTTTCGTTTTGTGTTATGCATGTGTTTCTTCAATTCGAAAATTTTTAGAAGAAAATTGTCTTTTTCTTCAATTTAAGTACCAAAAATAGTGCTTTTTAATGATGCACGTACTTCAATGTAGCGCATTTATATCTTTTACAATCGATTCATTACGTTGAACGATTCTCATTCTCTTACGTGTAAAATTATTTATTTATATATTGTATGTATTATATATGTATTATATTTATATAACTTCTGTTTAAGGAGATAAGGAATTAGTAAAGTATTGGTAGAGAAAGTGCACATTAATATGTATAATACCTTCTTCGTCTCCAACTTATAATTGATGGAGAGAAGTAAAGGAGAAACGATTGCCCTATTTTTATAAGTCAAGGCAAGATTACATAACTTGCATCATTATTGCGTGGCTTAATGGACAGAACATTCACTTTCAAAATACTGAATAAAATTATAAGAATGTACACAAAATACGATGATCAATGAAAGAATCCTAGACAGCTCTTATTCATGTTTTAGGAAAATTTCTCGAAAATATTTATTTGAATTTTAGTTTCTATTATATATGAATAATATTTAATTTATCTTTTATATATACTATATTATATGTTTCATTTATATATTATGTTATATTTATATATTTTTATATGTGTTATATGTTTTATCAAGAGACGCAGTAGTGTCTTGAAGTCGAGTCATCACTAAGGCGCAAGACACACCGTATATCTTTACGCGAATGGCTAAGTTGCGAGTAATGCATATTATCGGTTCTCAATAACCGTTGAATCAATCAAATTCTCACACACACACACACACTGTTGATAAACATAAAATAAAATCGCACTCTTTTATTCTCGACGTAATTTTATATTTAAATATATCATTAATTTTTGTAGATAATTATGACAACTATTTTACACAATTTTTTTTAATACAGCAATTTTTTATTAAAATAATTTTTTGTAAAATAGTTTTATACAATAATGTTTTACTACTGAGATGACTCGACTTCTTTTTTTTACCTTTTTTTGAAAAGGTAATTTTTTTAGGATATAATAATACGTAAAATGATATAGACGGTAATTCTAAATCGCGTATTTCGCGCGTACAATTTAATCAAGAATCACAGAAGAGGAAACTAAAATAATAACTTGTTATTTTGTTGCGATTTTTATGGATAATATTTTTTATGGATAATTTTATGGATAATTTTATGAATAATTATAGTTTTAATGATGCTTAAAGTCAAATATATTTCATACTCGACAATCTAAACATAATTCGGATTGTGCATTAGAAAAAGCGTGATAAAAAAATAGAATTGTAAATTTAAATAATTAGCATAATTTTAATAATTAGCATTATTATTTATATACGAAAAGTTTCGCGACACATCAATCGTTTAATAAATAATTAATCTATATTTTGAAATACTTCTATAACTTAATATTCCACATATTTTGGTAAAACCTGTCGGCAATTATCAATAACATAATGATATGCGGCCTTGGCGGCCAGTAGCGCATTATTGTTTATATATCACGACCTTATTAGCATTCGCACACTTGAGTAAAGTAATGCTGCGAAACGCTTCGTATAATATCGTATTTTTTTTCTAAATCCGGTCACAATTAATGTCGAAACATAATTTGCTATAATTATTACAATTAATAATTAATTAACTTTTGATAAAATGACAAAATGATAAAATGATGTTTGTATTTGCAACTGATCAACAAGTCCTCGACACTGTTACGAGTCATTTCATTCTATCTTTTTCTTTTTCTTTTTTCCTCTTAAAAATCTTTTTTTAATTTATCATCTAATAATCAAGAGTATGAGTAGATATTACACAAAGAAAAAGAGTGATTAAACGCGTTAATTTTATAATTTCTTTAATTTTTCTAACAGTTGAATCGCAGAACTAAATAATGAAGATAACAATAAGAGTCGTAATTCGTACATCAAAATTGTTTAATAAATAATTAATCAATAATTTAAAATATTGCTCTATAATTTAATTAATAATAATACGGTATTTGATTTGCAATATGTAACGCGTCAATGTTCATGTATTTCGATCATTATCATTCGCGCGCAATTTAAAGAGATCAGAAAATTATTTATTATAATACGATTAATTAACTTTTAATAAATAAGACATAATACGTTATAATACTTGTACATATCGCAACAAAAATTCTCGAAGTATATTTCCCATGATTTATTCATTTAATCAAATCAGAATCGTAATAAAAATAATAAATCATCGTTTCGATATTAATATAACCAGAAATTATTTCTTTAATAATATTTTTAGAATTGAATATAATTTGTTCGCGATGGTTTATTCTTATTCTATTTTTCTCATTCTATGGCCTCATTCTATTGTGTTTGTGTGTGAAAATGTATATTAAAATAATCAAATAAAAAATATAATTAATAAAATAAGAGATTCCGTGATACATTAATCTTTTAATTATAATTATATAATTAATCTGGATAATTTAAAATATTTAAATTTCTCTATGTATAAATATAATATTACACTGCTCTCTTTAATATTCCGTGTATACAATGTGTTCGAAAAGTCCCGGACCGGTAAAATATATCTTGAAAGTGAGACATTTTAGAAAAAAATGTTTCATACAAAAGTTATTGGGTTTCAACAAATGCATTAAACACCAAAACTTATTTGACTTTGAGTGTAACCATAGAGAAGCTCTTAAGATCAACTTTAAAATTTTAAACACAAATCTTCAATTTTTATTCAATATTCTTATAGCTTATCTCGAGAGCTTTCCAAAACACTATAATAAAATATTTTTTCATTGAGTACTTTTCGAGTTATTAGACTGGAAATAATTTCTTAATTTTACATAAACCATAAAATCTAGTAAAATACTCATTTTTCGATTATCTTACTTTAATACTTTTATGTACAAAATAATGAAAGGAATCAATTGCTGCGAAGAAAACACATAATTGTTTCTAAGAGAAAATACGTAATTTGCAATTACATATTTTTTCTTAAAAACAACTTTTCGAACACATTTACGTGTTAAAATATGTACAATATTAGGGCAACGAATGGATAATAACACCATGTTCAACCTTGGCGGTGTATGACGCGTTAATGTTTATACATACAAGTCACGGCCTTGCGTTCATCATTTGCATGACACTTGAGCAATAAGATGCGAAGTGATGCGAAATACTTCATATATTGTCAAATTAATGATTAATTGAACGACTGCTTTTGTGATTTTCAATTACATTAATCTTTCGATCTTATAATTTGTAAAAAGAAAATAAGAACGAACAGTCTGGATGGCAACCAATCAAAATATAATAAAAAGGAAGGCTGAGGATATGACGTGGGATGTTAAAACGAGAAATGAATGAGAAATGAAAAAAATAAATCTAAGACAGAAAAATGATATAATTTGTTAAACAATTTACCTATAGTATTCATTCGAATTATGTAAGCTTTACTGGTCAAATCGAATGCCTTATCACTCAAAATTAAAATTGTAGACAATCTAGAAACTCGATCGCAGCTCACTTTTAAATGAATGATAACATCAAATTAGTAAATAATAATATTTAATAAACATATTTAATGAATATTACGTACATTCAACCAAAACGTGAATTAATGTTGTTTCACAAAAGTTTGTGTTTCATTGGAACGTACATTTAGTACATTTAGTTTTATCGTTATTATCGAACTTTTATCATCTTTTTATCAAAGACTACGTGCTTTATGACATGAGCGTTTACTTACTCTTTCCTCACCATCAATATTAATAAACATAAAAACAATCCAATAAGTTCATTAATAAGTCACATCTCATTTTGGTCCAAGGAGCACTTGTCAGCTTGACAGCTTTCGTTCAGCTTTTCGCACAGATTGATATCATTTATTTCGATCCTAAAGATGATAAACTTAATAATAATTTATTGAAACACGATGAATGTAATTTACCCTAATTTATACCTTCCGCAAGTATATTAAATTTGATTGATTGATAGAACCTCGATGTGTTTTTAATATGTCACAATCGTACATATAGCCGTCATTTCATGTCGATAAGCGAGATCTCTAGTAATTGAAACAGAAATTTGTCAGAAATTTCGGAAACGTGTTTCACTTTCTCGTGATGGCGTTGATCGTCGCGGAAACCAAAGAATAAATTCAAATATGTGTACATTATATTGTACGTGTGCGTTACATATAGATATAATAAATATTGAATTTATAAAGATCGATCTACAACAAATATTACACTTATGCGTTTAACAAATATATGCTTTAGTGATAAAAAGCATTACAATTTTTTTTATCTTATGTAAATGTGTATATCGTATTATATGTTATCTTATATGTTGAGTTTTATAATGTAATGAAATTTTCATCATAATGATTTTTATTATTAAAAATTATCATATTTCGAGAAATTATTCACACATTTTTAAAAAAATAATATGTTTCCTTATTAGAAATATAATAATATGTTTATTTATAGATAAATAGTTTCCTTATAAATAGAATAATATAATATGTTTTCTTATAGAGATCTATTATTAATAAATATGTTTCCTTATAGAGATCTATTATTCTCTTCACAAAATTTCGTATGATTGCATTTTCCTCAAATTTACATAATATAGGAAGGAAATGTACATATAGTATAGATTTGTAAGTTTTGTATTGTATCTTGAGTAAAAATTCATGATATATTATCTCTAATTTAATATAACAAGTTGTTTATAGCAAAACTTATAAAATTAATGAATATTCACATACATATTTCAAGATTACGTATATTATTGTTTTTCTTTAGAAACCTCAAGAATTTATCAAAAGTAAAGTGATTTAAAATTATATAAATATAATTTTTTCGCACAGAATTATATAAAAAATGTCAATTAATTAAATGCTACTTTTTGCAAATTACTTATTGTAAATTTAATGACGCATGATTGACTGTTTAGTCGATATAAACAATGTATTTTTTCGAAAGTACTGTTTTTCACTATTAATCATGAATTTATGTAAATAAACGTTCTTAATTTAGAATACACGATCATGAAAAATGTGATATATTTAAATTAAATTGATCGATGGAAATCAGAATTTTTCGAATGTTTCGCGCGTTTTCTCCCTGTTCAAGCATTCAACAGAGGAGCATGTGCGATCATATATGTATATAACGCTATCGAATACAGTGTTAAGAGGAGTTAGTGAGCGACAACACTTTATTTTTCTGTGTATCAGGTTATAAATTTCAAAAGCAAAACTCGTCAAATTTTCGCGAATCAAGACTTCAGTAATAAATAAATTCTGAAATATGTTTCGTCTTCTTGCAGTAGTGACGGTGCTCTTTATGACAACTGACGCGCAATTGCACAGGTCAGTATATACTTTATTTTATTGCATATTGGCATGATAAATACCGAAATTGTAAAGATCGATTTTTTCTTGCATCCCATTTCTTTTATTAAACGCTGGCTTGTGCAAATGCAATTAATTCTTTTATACGAATTGGATGAACTTTCTTTTGTCGAAATGTATATTTTTATTTATTAGTCAAAAAGTAAATAAAATAAGAATATTTTTGAGAAAGTGCTCATTGTAACGTTTGCTTTTGTCCATTTTGCTTTTATTCCTATTGAAACGACGACCGTTAACATAAATCGTGATTGGAAGTCATTAAAACATTTGATTGTAAACTACCTTTTCACGCGATAGCAGATCAACTGTAGGTATAATGAGTTGCTTTGTATTATTTGTTTACTTGATATTGTCTGTATTCTAGTTTTAATAGTTGATACAGTTACTTGTTTTTGAATTATTTCTAAAAGTGTAAAATTATTTGCAAAATTGTCGTTAATTAAAAATCAATTTCCATTATAATAATTTTATTTAAAAGACTGGATTATAAATTAAATATTATTTTCGAGATACATGAGGGTCAAATAATTCAGAAAGATCATCGTGTTAATAAACCGTTCCGATATAATTACATCTAAATGCGTAATGTACTTATATTGTAAATGTGTAAGTTATATATTTGATTTCTGGGACGTTTACATTTATATAGAATTTCATAATTTATATTTGTTCTGAGAATATCTTAGTCATATCAAATGTGAACATTTATTTTATATTTTTTGTAAATATATATATTTATATCACAGAATGTTCTTTATGTTATTTCAAGGATTTCATTGTACAAGATGGATTACGTTCGACAATCTGTAAAAAAAGTTAATACCAAGTTGCAAGAAACTTTTTTAAGTGACGATGTTCTTTCACAAAATTTGACCAATTTCAAAAACATAATTTACTATGGCATTATTAAAATTGGAACACCGCAGCAAGAATTTAAAGTGATATTTGATACTGGTTCCGCAAATCTTTGGGTATTGTCCAAAAATTGCACAACTCCTGTTTGTTGTAAGTAATTTGCTTGTATATACATATATATATATATATATATATATATATATATATATGTATGCAAAAGTTTTTATTTGTTATTGGTTAAATAAATTTTATTTAATCGATATCGTTTTTTAGACAAAATTCGCGATTATATATACATAGATTATCTACAATTATATTTTTCAAGTATAATCTTAAAATATTTAAAAAGTTGAATATAATACAAATATAAATTTAATTTTAATAAGTATAGTATAGCTTAGGCATAAAAAACCACAAGGCATTGATGTCATATGCAAAAAATTGTTTAAAATGTTAAGATAAATTGTAAATCAAGTAATCAATTACAAATTATTAATAGGAATCACAAATGGTCGCGCAAACGTTTCGATCTATTCCAGATCCTTCTCAATGCTAACATTATAGAAAATACAAAAAATATAAATGTAAAGAGGAACAGGTCGCTCGCAAATAATAACATTCGCGAATTTAAAGTAATACAAGGTCAACGTTCAAATTAATGAGAAAAGTCAGCGCAGATAAAATATTCGTCAATATAGCGGACAATATAATAACAAATTCAAAATTTAATTATTTTTATGATAATGGAACAATATCTCTATATATTTTTATCTATATATTTTTCTCTATTTTTATCTTTATATATTTTTATTAAAATTTATTTTTTTATTATTTATTAAATTATATATTAAAATCTTTCTAAGTTTGCTAATTTTCGATATTAAATATGCTTTACAGTAAAACATAACCAATATGATAGTGCAAGATCCGAGACATACAATACTGTAACATATAATGGTCAATTTATTTTCCTTAATTTATCATACAGCTCTTTGATTGTACGTGGATTCCTATCTACTGATACAGTGAATGTAAGTCGTTATTAAACGAACAATTCAATTTAGTTACAACTATAATCAGAGTTTAAATGTATTAAGCAATCACGTTCTTTTTTTGCGCGGCAATGACGATATATTATTTCAATACCAATTTTATTATAGGTTGCCAACCTCAATGTAAAGAATCAAACATTTGCAGAAGTGGTAGACATATCAAATGAACATTTATTTGATAGATATGAACAAGAACTTGATGGTCTCTTAGGCTTGAGTTATTCCAATATATCTGTGGGTGGAATAACGCCTGTTTTCGACAACATAATTGAACAAGGGCTGGTGTCATCACGTATTTTCAGTTTTTATCTAAATAGGTACATATCCTCTTCACCTATGGACAACGTATATCCTCCTAAACAAGTGTTTTTAATAAATATGAATATTATTTATGCATATGCATATAGTTATATTTAAATGTATATTTATATTTATTTTATAATTAGTTTAATATTAACATATATTAACATAAATTAAATTTATTATTTATATTTTATTATTTATTAATTATTAATAATAAAATTTTTTTATTAATAATAAAATAATAATATACTTTATTACTTATTATTTATTAATTAAATTTATTATTTATAATTTATTATTTATTTTACATAGTATTATAATTTTTTAAATTAAAGTAATATTTATATTTGCACATTAAGTATAATTTAATCGTAATTATCACATACATACATACTGCGATATAAAAAATATAATTTGCAGAGACACTTCAGCCGATTTAGGTGGTACATTGATATTAGGTGGTTCTGATCCTACCTATTACGAAGGGGATTTCACATATATTCCTGTTACTCGCAAAGGATACTGGCAAATTACCATTGATAGGTACGTTATTTTTTAAAATTACATTCGTGTTTCAACAAATTGTCAATGTCATCACTTTGTAGGATCAAAATGACATCTGAAGATTTGTGCGAGGAAAGCTGCCAAGTTGTCGTTGATACAGGCTCTTCGCTAATAACAGGACCAGAATTGGACATCGCAAAGATTAATACATTTATTGGAGTTGATGAACATAAAACAGTAAGTAAACGATATCTTTCAAGTAATCATACCTTTCATAAAGCACGAAACATTTGATAAAAAATTATAAAAAGTTAATAATAGTGATAAAAGAAGATTAAATATTAGGTAAGTTTAAATGAAACATAAACTTCTATCTCGACACAACGACATTAATTCTTGTTTCCATTGATATATTTATTAAATATTATTAATTACTAATTTATATTATGTTTTATTTAAAGGTGGATTGCAATCGAATTTTCCAATTGCCTACAATCAGGTTTATTCTGGGTGGTAAGGCGTTCGATCTTACCGGTAAGGATTACATCATTCGGGTGAGTGCTATAGGCAAATTATTATTTAAATTATTTAAATATGTATTAGAAAAGTTTATATCGTGTATTTAATACTGCTCAGCATCCAAATCATGAAAGTATATGTACATCCATTTTCTTCACATACGACTCATATAACAGTGAAATAAAATGGATACTGGGCATGCCATTTATTGGCCGTTATTACACCGAGTTTGATATGGAGAGAGACCGAGTGGGATTTGCTTTGGCGAAAAGTTCATCAAAGTGTATAGAAAATCTTTCATTGTCACATTTTATTGTATATTTTATCATCATTTTTTTAAAATTATTTGTTTAGTTTTCGAGAAGAAAGAAATTTAATCTGTTTTAATCGACAAAGTTTGCATGTCATCAATGTGAATTTTTACGCTATATGTATATAAATGTGTTTTAATTTTTAAAAGCAATACTTCATCATGAAAGCAGTTGATATGAACATATTGTTAATTAGAATTTTTACGAGCAGTGTCATTTGCTAAGTTTATTGATGCATAGCTGTTTAGTCGACATAATCAAGCTATTCTTTCGAAACGCTGATTGCTCCTTCATTAACATTCTTAATCACGCGCACATTTAACAATTTAATAATTTAATACAATTTGTTTTAATGAACAATTTGTTTTGTTATGAAACAAAATATTAAATAAAATATTTTTAAATTTGATTGATCGATAGGACGGATGTATTTTGAATGCGCGCGATTCTATAGCAGTCGCCAAATGTAGATAAACGAGAGCTCTCATAGTCGAATACAATTTCTTTTTTGTATGTCGCAACGTACAGAAAGCAATTTATCAGAAATTTCGAAAACACGCTTTCTCGTGGTGACTGTGGTGTTGATAGATGTGAAAATCCAAAGCTAAATTCATACATTGTATTGTATGTGCACGATACATATCAATATAATAAATATTGATTTTATAAAAAAATCGATTTACCTCGTGACCACATTCGATTTTCGGAAATCTAAAACCTATGTAAATGTAATTGCATTGATTAAACACCGATAAATCCTAAATGGAATTGGTTATTCGTACAGTGCGATGAGCAATAAAAGTTTTCGATTTTATGATAATGTTACAAAAATCATTTTCTCTTTTTATTATAAGTTATCTTATCTTATAACTATATTCTTATAATGTAATTATCATCAATGTTTCTTGTTATTGAAAATTATCTTATTTTGATAAATTAATCATACATTTTTAATAAAAAATAAGATTCTTTATTAGAGATTTATTATTTCTTCCACAAAATTTCGTATTGTTGTATTTTTTTCAAATTCACACAATATATGACGAAAGAAATGTATAGTAGAAATATATATATATAGAAGTAAGAAATATATGGATTTTTAAATTTTGTATAGTATCTTGAGTAAAAATATTCGTATTAATATTATCCCTAATTTAACACAACAAGTTCTTTTTCTAAAAAATTATGAAACTAATAAATATTTAAATACATATTTCACGATTATGTATATTTTCTTTTTTCTTTAGACACCTCTAGAATTTATCAAATAAAGTGATTTAAAATTATATAAATATAATTTTTTCGCGCAGAACTATATAAAAAATGCCGATTAATTAAATGCTACTTTTTGCAAATTACTTATTGTAAAATTAACGACGTATGATTGACTGTTTAGTCGATATAAACAATGTATTTTTTCGAAAGAACTGTTTTTACTACTACTGAAAGAACTATTAATCATGAATTTATGTAAATAAACGTTCTTAATTTAGAATACACGATCATGAAAAATGTGATATATTTAAATTAAATTGATTGATGGAAATCAGAATTTTTCGAATGTTTCGCGCGTTTTCTCCCTGTTCAAGCATTCAAGAGAGGCATGTGCGATCATATATGTATATAACGCTATTGAATACAGTGTTAAGAGGAGTTAGTAAGCGACAACACTTTATTTTTCTGTGTATCAGGTTATAAATTTCGAAAGAAACTCGTCAAACTTTCGCGAATCAAGACTTCAGCAGTAAATAAATTTTGAAATATGTTTCGCATTCTTGCGGTAGTGACGGTGCTCTTTATGACGACTAACGCGCAATTGCACAGGTCAGTATATATTTTATTTTATTGTATATTGGTATGATAAATATCGAAATTATAAAGATTGATTTTTTTCTTGCATCCCATTTCTTTTATTAAACGCGTGACTTGTGCAAATGCAATTATTTCTTCTATACGAATTGGATAAACTTTCTTTTGTCGAAACATATATTTTTATTTATTAGTCAAGGAGTAAATAAAATAAGAATATTTTTGAGAAAGTGCTCATTGTTCTTTCGTAACGTTGGCTTTTATCTTGCCTTTATTCCTATTTAAACAATAACCGTTAACATAAGTCATGAAAGTCATGAAAACATCTAATTGTAAACTACTTTTTCACGCGATAGCAGATCAACTGTAGTTATAATGAGTTGCTTTGTATTATTTGCTTACGTGATATTTTCTGTATTCTAGTGTTAATAACTGATACAGTTACTTGTTTTTGAATTATTTATAAAATTGTAACGCATAAAATTGCACGCAAAATTTTCGTTAATTACAAAGCAATGTCCGTTATAATGATTTTAATTAAAAGACTGGATTACAGATTAAATATTATTTTCGAGATATATGAGGGTCAAATAATTCAGAAAGATCGTCATGTTAATAAATCGTTCCGATATAGTTATATCTAAATGCGTAATGTACTTATATTGTAAATATGTAAATTATGTAATTGATTTCTGAAACGTTTAAATTTGTATTGACTTTTATAATTTATATATGTTCTGAGAATATCTTTTAGTCATATCAAATGTAAGTATTCATTTTATATTATTTGTAAATATATATACAGGGTGAGGCATCTAAAACAGGCCACCTGAATAACTCCGTTGGTAAGCCGAATACAAAAAAATTGTTCAGACAAAAGTTGTATGGTTTCAAGGGGGACATATGATGGTGTCATTAGTTTAATCTTGAAGAGCCACCCGAAGGTCACGTACAGGTCAGCTCCAACTTTTTAAATGGGACATCTTATATGATTTTGCATATTCTTGTAGCTCATCTCAAGAGCTTTCCAAAACACTACAATTATGTTAGTTTTCATTGAGTACTTTCCAAGTTATGAGGCTTGAAATCATTTTTTAATTTTACATAAACCGTAAAATATCTTGTAAAATATTCATTTTTCGATTATTTTACCTTAATACTTTTATGTACAAAATAATGAGAGGAATCAATCGGTGTAAAGAAAACAGTTGTTTTTAACAAAAAATATGGAATTGTTAATTGCAAATTCCATATTTTTTCTTAGAAACAACTATGTGTTTTCTTTACACCAATTGATTCCTCTCATTATTTTGTACATAAAAGTATCAAGGTAAGATAATCGAAAAATGAATGGTTTACTAGATATTTTACGGTTTATGTAAAATTAAAAAATGATTTCAAGCCTCATAACTTGGAAAGTACTCAATGAAAACTAACATAATTGTAGTGTTTTGGAAAGCTCTTGAGATGAGCTACAAGAATATGCAAAAGCATATAAGGTGTCCCATTTAAAAAGTTGGAGCTGACCTTCACGTGACTTTCGGGTGGCTCTTCAAGATTAAACTAATGACACCATCATATGTCCCCCTTGAAACCATACAACTTTTGTCTGAACAATTTTTTTGTATTCGGCTTACCAACGGAGTTATTCAGGTGGCCTGTTTTAGATGCCTCACCCTGTATATATATATATATATATACTTACAAATAATATAAAATGAATATTCACATTATAAAAAATATATATATGTATATACGTATATATATATACATTATTAAATATATATATATATATATATTTATATTTATGTCACATAATGTTCTATATGTTATTTCAAGGATTCCATTGTACAAGATGGATTACATTCAATCTTTGGAAAAAGTTGACAAGTTGGTAGAAGATTTTTCGTTAAGTGACGATCTTCCTTCCGGAAATTTGACCAATTACAAAAACGTAAATTACTATGGCATTATTAAAATTGGAACTCCGCAGCAAGAATTTAAAGTTGTATTTGATACTGGTTCCCCATTTTGTTGGATATTCTCCAAAAATTGAAAAATTTCTGTTTGTTGTAAGTAATTCGTTTATATATACAGAGTATTTAATTTAACTTTTACACCACAAATAACTCCGTTATTTTTACATGTTCAAAGAAATAGTAAAGAAAGAAGTTGTATGAATGAAAAGGGCACCTGACAATTATTTGATCTTGAGTAGTCTTTTGAAGGTCAAATTCTGAAACAAAAACCCCCATTTTTCATTACATTCTGTAGCTTACCTCGAAGACTTTCCAAAACACTATAATAAAGTGTCTTTTCTTCGAGTACTTTTCGAGTTTTGAAGCTTGAAGTAATTTCTAAAGTTTCGTAAAATCTTACCTTAATTAAGCCGTAAAATATCCAGTAAAATATTCATTTTCGATTATTTTATATCCATACTTTTCTGCACAAATTAATGTGAAGAATCAATTGGTGTAAAAATAAAGCGTAGTTATTTTTAAGAAAAAATTGTAATTGTTAATTGCAAATTAGTATTGTTAATTTTCAATTGCACTCAATATGCTTCGTAGCAGGACATAATCTATATGATAGTGCAAGATCCGAGACATACGATAATACAGTAAAAAGATTTTCACGTTTTCAATATGGCTCTTGCGATGTAGAAGGATACTTAGCTGCCGATAAAGTGAATGTAAGTCATCATTAAACAAACAATTTAATAGTTACAACTATAATTGTAATTTAAACCTTTCTTAAACAATCATATTGTTTTTTTCTTGCAATGATGACGATATATTAATTTAATATCAATTTTATTATAGGTTGCCAATCTCAATGTTCAGAATCAAATATTTATGGAAGTAACTAATATGTTAAGAATATATCCTAATTTTTCTAGACCATACGATGGTATCTTGGGCCTGAGTTATTCCAACATATCTGCCAGTCGAATAATGTCTGTTTTCGACAACATTATTGAACAAGATCTAGTATCACCACACATTTTCAGTTTTTATCTAAATAGGTACATATTTTCTCTACTTATGAACAACATATAAACAAGAGTTTTTGATAAATATACAGTTCGATTTCTACATATATTTATATTTATTTTATAGCTGTTTCAATAGTAACATAAATTAAATTTATTATTTATATATAGTATTATAATGCTATAAATTAAAATAATATTTATATTTGCATATTAAATAAAATTTAATTTTAATTTTCATACACATATTACGATATAAAAAATATGTATAATTTGCAGAGACACTTCAGCCGATTTAGGTGGTGAATTGACATTGGGTGGCTCCGATCCCGCTTATTACGAAGGGGATTTCACATATATTCCTGTTACTCGCAAAGGATACTGGCAAATTATAATTGATAGGTACGTTATATTTTTAAATTACATTAATCGTGTTTCAACAAATTGTCAACGTCATCGCTTTGTAGGATCAAAATGAAATTTGACTATTTGTGTGAGGAAAGTTGCCAAGCTATCGTTGATACAGGCACTTCGCTAATATTAGGACCACAATTGGATATCGCAAAGATTAATACATTTATTGAAGTTGATGAAAGTAGTAGGGTAAGTAAATGATATCTTTCAAGTAATACCTTTCATGAAGCACGACATTTCATTAAAAATTATAAAAAGTTAATATTAGCGATAAAATAAGAATAAATATTAGATAAGTTCAAATGAAACATAAACTTCTATCTCGAAAAAACGACATTAATCCTTGTTTCCGATGATATATTTATTAAATATTATTAATTACTAATTTGATATTATGTTTTATTTAAAGGTGGACTGCAATCAAATTTTCCAATTGCCTATAATCAGGTTTATTATGGGCGGTAAGGCGTTCGATCTTACCGGTAAGGATTACATCATTCGGGTGAGTGCTATAGGCAAATTATTATTTAAATTATTTAAATATGTATAAGAGAAGTTTATATCGTGTATTTAATACTGCTCAGCATCCAGATGATGAAAGTATATGTATATCCATTTTCTCCACATACGACTCATATGACAGTGAAATAAAATGGATACTGGGCATTGCCATTTATTGACCGTTACTACACCGAGTTTGATATGGAGAAAGACCGAGTGGGATTTGCTTTGGCGAAAAGTTCATCCAAATGTATAGAAAGCCTTTCGTTGTCACATTTTATTGTATACTTTATAATAATTTTTGTAATTAGTTTTCTAGTTAGTTTAGTTTTCAATAAGAATGAAATTAATTTTAGAAATTAATTTTAGAATTTTAGAAATTAATCTTTTTTAATCGACAACCGGCAAAGTTTGCATGTCATCAATGTGAATTTTTGCGCTATATGTACATAATTGTGTTTTAATTTTTAAAAGCAAAACTTTATCGTGAATGTAGCTGATATGAACTTATTGCTAATTAGAATGCGAATTTTTGCGAGCAGTATCATTTGTTAAGTTCATTGTCGCATTGCCGTCTAGTCGATATAATCAATCTATTCTTTTAAAACGCCGATTGCGTCTTCATTATCATTCTTAATCACGCGCACAATTAAAAATTTATCTTATTACAATTTGTTTTAATTATAAAACATAATATTAAATAAAATAATTTTAAATTTGATTGATCGGTAGGACGCATGTGTTTCGAATTCGTGCGATTGTATAGCCAAATTTAGATAAACGAGAGCTCTAAGGGCTTATCCAAACAAACTTGCATAGGTGCATATGCATTACATAAGACCATATGGACCAATGAGCATCGAGTATTAAATCGCTATATTGACTTACATAACATAATACTCGATGCTCATTGGTCCATATGGTCTTATGTTATGCATATGCACCTGTGCAAGTTTGTCTGGATAGGCCCTAATAGTCGAATACAATTTATTTTTTGTATGTCCAGTCACAACGTACAGAAAGAAATTTGTCAGAAATTTCGAAAACATATTCCACTTTCTCGTGGTGACTGTGGTGTCGATCGATGCGGAAATCCAAAGCTAAGTTCATACATTGTACTGTGTGCACGAAACATATCGATATAATAAATAGTGATTTTTAAAAAATCGATTTTACCTCGTGACCATATTTCGACTTTCGGAAATCTAAACTTATGTAAATGTGATTGCATTCATTAAACACCGATAAATTCTAAATGGAAGATTATTCGTGCAATGCGATGAGCAATAAAAGTTTTCGATTTTATGATAATGTTACAAAAATCATTTTCTCTTTTTATTATGTTACCTTATTATAACTTTATTCTTATAATGTAATTGAAATTAATGAATATTCAAATACATATTTCAAGATTATGTATATTATATTTTTTCTTAGAAACCTCAAGAAAGTATCAAATATGTCATTTATAATTACATAAGTATTATTTATAAGTATTATTTTTTCGCACAGAGTTATGTAAAAAATGCCGATTAATTAAATGCTATTTTTTGCAAATTACTTATTTTAAAATTAATGATGCATGATTGTCTGTTTAGTCGATATAAACAATGTATTCTTTCTTGAAACAATTGGTTTCATATTATTAATCATAAATTTATGTAATTAAACGTTCTTAATTTAGAATACACGATTATTAAAAATATGAAATATTTAATTAAATTGATCGATGAAAATCTGTTAAGATTTTTCGAATGTTTCGCGCGTTCTCTACATGTCTCAAGCATTCAACAGGGGCACGCGCGATCATGTGTATGTAACGCTATCGAATATTAATACAGTGTTATGAGGAATGTTAGTAAGAGACAACACTGTTATTTTTCTGTGTATCCGGTTATAAATTTCGAAAGAAACTCATCAAATTTTCGCGAATCAAGACTTTAGTAGTAAATAAATTTTGAATTATGTTTCGTTTTCTTGCGTGAGTGTGACGGGCTCTTTATGACGTCCTGACGCGCAATTACACAGGTCAGTATATATTTTATTTTATTGCATATTGGCATGATAAATATCGAAATTATAAAGATTGATTTTTTCTTGTATCCCATTTTTTTTGACTTTTAAAAAAACGCGTTGAACTTGTGCAAATGCAATAATTGCTTCTATACAAATTTGGATAGAACTTTTTTTGTCGAAACATATATTTTTATTTATTAGTCAAGAGTAAATTAAAATAAGAAATATTTTTGAGGAAAGTGCTCTTGTCCTTTCGTAACGTACGCTTTATCTTGCCTTTATTCCTATTTAAACGCATGACCGTTAACATAAATCATGATTGGAAGTCATCAAAACATCTAATTGTAAACAACTTTTTCACGCGATAGCAGATCAACTGGTAGGTATAATGAGTTGCTTTGGTATTATTTGTTTAGTATTTTCTGTATATAGTTTTAATAATTGATGAAGCTACATGTTCCTTGAATTATTTATAAAATTTTAACGGAATTATAATGATTATTTAAATAATGATTTTATTTAAAAGATTGGATTACAGATTAAATATTATTTCGAGATACATGAGAGTTAAAATAATTCAGAAAGATCATCGAGTTAATAAATCGTTCCGATATAGTTATAATAAATGCGTAATGTACTTATATTGTAAATTGTTGTAAGTTATGTAGTTGATTTCTGAAACATTTAAATTTGTATAGACTTTCATAAACTTATATATGTTCTGAGAATATCTGTTAGTCATATCGAATGTGAATATTCTTTTATATTATTATAAGTATATAATATATATATATATAT